CCCGTTAAGTACGTTATCAGGATCATTATTCAATCGTATAGAAATAACTTTTTTTAAAACTCGAACAATTTTTTTTATTTTATTAAAAAAATATATGCAAATTGTATATGGTTTTATTACCTCCGCATTGTCTGGGGAGTAAGAGGATTGTCAAAGACCCCGCTTTACTTAGCTTTGGCATCGGCTAGTGTCAGTAAGAGGTAATAAAACCACATAAAATTAAAAAAAAATTAATATACGTTTAAAAAAATATGGCGAGTTTTAAAAAAAAAGTTATTTCTATAGGTTTGAATACAGATCCTGATAACGTACTTAACGGGAACCACAGGGTTCTGTTACATGTTGTATATCGGAAGCGGTAAATTTTTTGGTATTCATTTTGCTGACAACCACGCCTACGGGATGAAATGAGAAAATGGTTTAATTTTGCTGGTTCTTGTATATATTTTTCTTAAAACGTTGCCTCCACACTAGGCTTTCTCCTGTATCATGAACGCAGTTTACAAACATAAATAGCACAAGGACAAACATCCAGACCCGGAGCAATTATTTGCAGGCCATACAAATACTTGTTCCGTGTGGGATTCGAACCCGCGGCCCCCAGCGCAAGAACTCATAGCTAAGCCACTGCGCCAAGGAGCCATCATCCGTCGTCATATCCGATGATATGTTAAAGATGTCGTGTTTATATAGATCGACAGAAAATTTATTTGCTTTTAAATACATGGTACTTAAGATGTTCAATCATTTGGAGCTGACAAGTTTTGCAGTAGTTGAATAACTGATACTGAAGTTATACTTTAAAATTGTTTTGCCATTATTTTAAAATTATGTACAAATATTGTTATTAAATCCAAATATATTATACAATTAAATATAAGCTTCTCGTCAGGTATACCTCAAAACCTGAAGACGAGACTGTGCAACCAGTGCGTGTTGCCAGTCATGACTTATGGATCTGAGACGTGGTCCTTCACTGCTGGCCGTATGAGGACGCTCAAGGTCGCTCAGCGAACTATGGAGAGGGTTATGCTTGGGGTTTCTTTGCGTGATAAACTTAGGAATGAGGATATCCGCAGTAGAACTAGAGTGACTGACATAGCCCAACGGATTAGTGAACTGAAGTGGCAATGGGCCGGCAATATACCTCGAAGAACCGACACCCGATGGGGATAACAACGTTCTCCCCTGGCAGCCTTGTACCGGTAGGCGAAGTGTAGGGTGACCCCCCACTAGATGGAGTGACGACCTGTTAAGACATGCAGGCAGTTGATGGATGCAGCTGGCTCAGGACCGTGTTTTGTGGGATATTTTGGGGGAGGCCTATGTTCAGCAGTGGACTTGTGAAAGGCTGTAATAATGATGATGATACAATTAAATACACAAACAAATTTACTTAAGTTCGTTCAAGAAATTCGTTAAATAATAATAATGTCCTCCAGACCGAATTATGGTCACGGCGGCCAGTCAAAACGGAGACTAACCATCTACGTGGGATAGTATTACAGAGCCGGAGTGTATGCACAAGCACAGGTGCACTCTCTATTCCCTCACTCTCATAGTCCGATGGGACGGTAAACCGACACGACCGGAGAGAGATCAGGCGCAGGACTAACGGTTTTACATGTTTGTCTAGGCACGGGGGTGAGACACTGCCAGCTTTCTGACTCCAGGTTGCTACTGAGAATTTCTTGATAGAAAAACCCAATAACTGATTTTTTTGGCCCGACCCAGGAAATGAACCCGGGACCTCATGATCGGCAATTCCGACTACTAAATAAAAGGTGGTCACCTCATTGGATTTTTTGATAAAAAAAGCCAATAACAGATTTTTTGGCCCGACCCGGGAATCGAACCTGGTACCTCATGATCGGCAATTCCGACTACTAAACAAAAGGCGGTCACCTCACTGGATTTTTTGATAGAAAAAGCCAATAACAGATTTTTTTGGCCCAACCCGGGATTCGAATCCGGGACCTCATGATCGGCAATTCCGACTACTAAACAAAAGGCGGTCAGCTCACTCGACAATACTATGCCTCCAAATGACTACATACAACTATTATGTTGTATCCTAAAACTAAGAAAAGTTAAATATTTCATTACTCGTAACAAAAAAGTGGTAATGCCATTGTATATCGTCCGGAGAGCGGTTGTAAATCACCACTATTATCGTCAACAGCTCAATGACGCGTCATTTTTCTTGTATTACCCGCGAGAGGACGAAGGTCACAACTCGCTCATGTGTAACGCGCCTAACACCTAAAACAAACACAATTATAACGAAATAAAAAAAATGTTTCAAGTAGCTACGTAATGTAAATAGAAAATACTTTTAAACTTTATTTGTATTTTTTCGAAAGGGGTAGAGGTGATCATGCATTGGAAGCGTTCATGGAAATAAGACCTGCGAGATATGAATTATTATTGTTAAAATGCTTTCCAGACCAAGGTCAAGGCGGGCAGTCTCAACGCAGTACAGGATTAAAGTGCATAAGTGTGTTGCGCAAGCACAATTGCTCTCTTGAATATTTCACTCTCGTACCTCACAGCAATCCGATACTATAAAGCCGCGTATCCACCAAAAATGTTGACAACAGTTATGTTTCCAACAAGAGTCTCCACCAAGGGATCAAATGTTCGCAACAAGCGTATTCCTTTGATGTTGCCGCCGAAAATGGAAACACTGTTCCCGACATTGTTTCAAGTTTTGTTTCCAACTGTTGTGTTGGTAACAAAATTTTGGTGGAAACGCGGCTTTAGAGCGTGCTACTTCAAAAGTCGGGACTGCAACTAAGAACTTCTCGACAGTAAAACCCAACTGACCCTGACTTTTGACCCGACCCGTGATTTCAACTCGGAACCACAGGATCAGCAGTCTAGACCTACGAGGCATTTATTATGTATGCACGCAATCATGATAAAATATTTCTACAGGGATGGCATAAACGGATTTGATGATGATATTCATTCTTCTCGTGGGTGTTGTTAAGGTAGCTTTATCAGACTTCTTGCACCAAGCTGCTCCCCGTCGCCAGTCTGGGTATATTCAACATCTGGTAAATGTGAGATTCTTTTGCTGCTATCTATAAAGAGCCGAGTTTTTTTAGTCGGTTACCATGGGTCTAATCAACTATTATATACGTGGTACAGCCATGCTGCAGCTATATTAGTAGTATAGTAGTAGCACAAATGGGTCAGCTCGACCGTGGAAAGACCACGCTCTCACAGAAGCAGCTTAACACAGCTGTGTTTCGTATGGTGAGTGTAGAGAACCGGGAGACCCTTTTTACTGGAAAAGAGGCATTCCATCTTAGTCCTCACGGGTGACAACGCATCTGAATTTTGATTCTGCAATTGTACACCTACAGTTTCATTCGTACCGAGAATGAAACTGTAGGCGTACAATTACTAATGTAGTGTGTGAATGTAGGGTTCTTCTTTTTGGATAATTCTGGAAGCATTGTCTCACCGTCACAAATAAGTACATAATAAATAAAATTAATATTTATTTATTTCGTTATGTAACTAGATTTAACAGTACACAGATATATAGATATAGTTACTCTATTTCACGATGAAGGTTTGACTTTGGTTATTGTTATTCGTGCACATACACATTGTCTTAGTGTGCGTAGGCCTCGGGAGCGCTACTGCCACAGTAAATATATAGTTTATACTGTGCTACTGCCGAGCGTCCGCAGCCTACGCACACTAACACAATGTGTATGTGCACGGCTAACACAACCAAAGTCAAACCTTCATCGTGAAATAGAATAACTATACACACATTCATGTAGACCAGGGCTCGTTAATATAAAATAAAATCTTTCATTTATAACTTCGAACACAATTACTGCAGTACATCTCATTATAGTGTTTGTAACTGTACAAGTAAATGTAGATAATTCCCCTACTCACGGTCACCTGTGCGCATGACCGGCGGTAGATAAAACACTTCCGCCGGAAGTTGGACAATAAACACCGATTCGGCTGCACCCTAACAACATTGTGAGTTCTAAATCATTATATATAATCGATTTTTGATGTTCATGATCAGTGATTTAATAGGAGAATTGGTTTACTGTCATATTTAAGTGGTCATATCCTACCGATACAGATATCGACGGCTCAGTGGCGCAGCGGTATAGCAATTAGTTACGGCACTGAGGGCCGCAGTTTCGATTCCCGTACAAAACAAGTATTTGTACGGTTTGTAAAAGTACAGATAATCCAAATATGGGGGTAAGGAGTAACGTTTAAAAAATATCGTCATTAAGGTACATGTGGTGCATCTTGTTGCACTGTGTTTGATTTGGAAATTTTACTCTATGGCCTGTCCGGCGGGATTTGATAAAATGAGCGGGGTTTCCAAAATTATTTCAAATTGCAGCCCGCTAATTATTTTTGCTGATAGTTGACCGCCGCGTCGCGTCGGCTCGTCCGTTCGACCTCGCGCATGACAACAACTATGAGCCTCGTACCACAAAACTGTGTTTGCAGCGATAAGCGACACCCGTCATACAGATTGCGATACTTAAGCGACAGTCGCTTCATACAGACAGTTTTTATAATATTTATCAACGTTTACCGAACAGATTTTATTGAAGTTATAGCCTATAGTCCCTATGGTAAGTACAGGCCTCGTCTCATTTCTGAGAGGGTAATGAAGCAATTAGTTATCTGCCCTGCTCCAGTGCTTGGCGGACTTTACGTGTACTCGATATATTTTGATTCCTCAGTCATGCAGTTTCCTCACGATCTTTTCCTTCGTCGTTGAGCACGTACAAAATCAGCGCTTAAAATTACATTTGACAATTTCATGGGTACCCTCGTTGTTCGAATTCGTGGCCCTACCCTATTTTTTGACTTTAAAAAAGTGCTTTGTAAAGTCCAATTTTTAAATAAAAATGTTTCTACTTTGACTTTGTCTTTGACCTAAGTACAACGGTCATCAACTTAATATTTCTTATATTTAAGTTCAATGTTTGTTGTCAGCTATGGGGTCGGGAGCATCGGGCTTCGCTGCTGAGAGCCCAGGCACGGACTTGCGGCTTCCAACAACTGGACTTCGTTTCACCGTTAACCAACTACGGAGCCTTAATTCTTACTTCGACACGCTTTATGAGGAGGACCAAAAAAGTAATAACCAATTGCATATTACATTTTTTTCATGTAGACGACTATACTTCGGCTTCGGAGGATAAGCTACTGAAGCGGACTCACCAAGCCTACTAGAAACTATTTACTAGGCCAGCCTTTTTTCATGGGCTAGCCATGTAGCCAAAACATTCGACTTTTAATAAAAGTAAATGCCGATTTCAAAAATCTTAAATAATAAAATAATTTCTACATTATGGCTTCTGCCGTCGGCGATCTAATTCTTCGATACACTAAGTCTTAGCACTTTAGCAGCGACTTCAGTAGTTATTGTCTGGAAATTATTTAATTCTTTCTACTTTTTTACTTTTTATTAGTCTATTTTTTTGGAGATCAAGAATTAATTTTTATTAAAATCAAGTGTTTTAGAGATGAAGAATTACTTATTATTAAAGTAAAATTTTTTAGAGATGCAGAATTACTTATTATTAAAGTCAAACTTTTTGAGATGAATTAATTATTTTTAAAGAAATATTTTTTAGAGATGAAGAATTACTTTTTATTAAAGACAATTTATTTGAAGATGAAGAATTACTTTTTATTAAAGACAATTTTTTTAGAGATGAAGAATTACGTTTTATTAAAGTCAAAATTTTTAGAGATGCAGAATTACTTTTTATTAAAGTCAAATTTTTAGAGATGAAGAATTACTTTTTATTAAAGTAAAAATTTTTTAGAGATGAAAAATTACTTTTTATGGGAGTCAAATTTTTTAGAGATGAAGAATTACTTTTTAATTAAATCAATTTTTTTAGAGATTATGAATTATTTTTTATTTAAGACACATTTTTTAGAGATCAAGAATTACTTTTTATTAAAGTCAAATTTTTTAGAGATCAACAATTACTTTTTATTAAATTAAAATTTTTAGAGATCAAAAATTAGTTTTTATTAAAGTCAAATATTTTTAAGAGGAAGAATTGCTTTTTATTAAAGTCAAATTTTTTAGAGATGAAGAATTACTTTTATTAAAGTAAATTTTTTTAGAGATCATGACTTCATTAAACTTTAAAATTTTTAGAGATCAAGAATTGCTTTTTTATTAAAGTAAATTTTTTAGAGATGAATAATTACTTTTTATTAAAGTCAAATTTTTTAGAGATCAAGAATTACTTTTTATTATAAGTGAAAAGAAGGAATAAAAAGTAAACAACCTCATTTCGTTCCACGGGTGTTTAAAATAATGAATAACTTCGAATGTTTATTAATGTTCACGTCAATAAACTATTAAGGTATTAAGTGATTACTATGATGATGATGTTAAGAAATTGCAATATACAATAGATTCTAGATAATAGTGTAAGATGCGATTTGATACACATCACGATGCAATATGAAACGTCACTACGATGCGTTCATATATTAGAAATCGTGACATGAAATTTGCTTTTCAAAGAAAACGAGGGCAAGGCAACAAACTGAATGAATCATAACATTGAAAAACCTGCGAGAAAATTAATTGTCTATATATGTTTCACGGCTGGGCACAGGTTTTATAGAGTATTTTTTAAATTAGGAATCACCCACGCTACAACGGTGGGTATTGGTGGGTTTCACATAATCTTGAAGTATTTTAATTTGCCCTCGGAACTTTTAATTTCTATTTTTTTTTAACTTTTCAGGCATGTAGGTTTTTTTTTATAGAATAAATGTGCCAAAACACACGTGCCAACAGTTCACCTGATGGTAAGTAGATGGTGTGGCCCATAGACATCTACATTTATCCTTGATTAATTGCGGTTTCACTTCTGAGAACTAAGATAAAATGCCTCGTTTTCAGTAAAAGTTCTGTTTTCCACACTTACCATACGAACCACAGCAATATTAAGCTGCTATTTTACGCTAGTAGAGCGTGGTTCTTCCCCGGTCGAGCTGATCTATTCGTGCTACAACTATAATATAGTTGCAACGTAGCTTTACCATCTATAGGACCGGTTTTTCGATTAATTTTTCGAACAATTTTAGTGCTGCAGGCGGAGACCGAATTCGGGTTCTTCGCGATCCATTTAAGTCAAGGGGGTCCGCGTACTACGACTTTCAAATTGTTCTCTCGAATTCCTTGCTCAATCAACTATAGCTTAGTGAGTAATGATGCGTTATTTTGAAATTTAGTGCCTATTTATATTATCCAACGGTTCTTTTCATTAGTGCAGAAAAAAAATTACCCCTAATCGCGAACTTATTTACCCGCCCTCATAGCTTCTACTTTATCGGATTCTTGCGTTACAAATCTGTGTTCGATATCTGTCTGTATCACTTAAATTGTAGTTTTAGGTGCTGATTTACTACGTCCTCAGCAGTACAAGAAACTATGGTGTCAAAAAAAGAGAAATTAAAAAAATTGAGGCACATGTAGAGAAACGGTAGTAAAGCCTACCGTTTCTTCATAACTTACAGAAATGAGAAGTTATCTTCTGTGCCCAGCAGTGGGACAAAAGAAGGCTGTAACTATTTTACAATTTTCTTTTTTTTTCTTTTTATAGATCGAATGTCAATTGAAATGGAATGCTTAGTCGAGAGTATAGTTCAGCGGATTGTGGACGGAGCTGGTCAGAAAGATCCGCGGTTCAGATGCAGTCATTTGATTGCGCTGCATAGAGAAAAAAAGGCAAGTAGTTTTTCCTATCGTATAACCTCAGCGGTGAAAATGTCTCTGGATTTTGTTTCTTAACTGAGGATAGATGTAGATGTCTATAGCCCACAGCATTCACTTACCATCAAGTAGACTGTGTGCTAGTTTATAACCCAGTACCCCAGAAGTAGGGTAATGTTTTTCGAGTTTATATATGTATGCTTGTATGTCTATTTCTTTGACACGCTCTGTAGTCAAAACGCCTTGAAGGGTTTTAAGATATCGGCTGTTCTTAGATTCGTCTTAGTTGTAGAAGTGACATAGGGCATGATATTTTTCTCTTTTCACCTCATTATGTAAACTTTTCTTACACAGATGTTTTTTTAAATTACTGTTTTCACCATAAGACTTGTTCACGTTTCTTCAATTAAAGAAAATTATAAAATGTTTATATTACAAATTCATCTACCATCAGATGCGGTCACGTTCACTGGAGTACATTGTCACGTTGGATTCGTTGCCAGTCCTCAACGCCGACAGTGAAGACTGTCGTCTTCAGGACGGTCCTGTCGGCTACGGGAAGATCAGACTGACTGGCCGGGAAGCTGACAAGTGGGCGGAGTTTTTAACACCATCGGGATATTTATGCAGGTGAGGTACTTTGATTTTGGGTTTTGGTTTGTCTTTAATATATCTATATTTTTATCATTACCGAGCCTTGGTAGCTCAGATGGTTAACGCTCACTGTAAGCTTCACAGTACTCGAGCAACCCGGGTTCAATTCCCGCCGGCACCAATGAAATTGTTAATTGCAATTTGAAGTGCTGATTTACCACGTGCTCGGCGGTGAAGGAAAACATCGTGAGGAAACCTGCATGTCTGAGAAATAAGAAAAAAAATATTTCGAAGGCAAGTGAAGTTCGCCAACACGCATTGGGGCAGCGCGGCGGACATTTCCTTACCCTAAAACCCTCTCAGAAATGAGAGGAGGCCTGTCCCCAGCAGTGGGCCGTAAATAGGCTGCAACTTTACTTTACTTTTTTATATCCATATTTTTATCATTGATTTGAAAATGAAGTAACCAACAAATTTACAGTCCAGCTGATGATAAATGGCCACAGCAGCCCATGGAAACCTGCACATATACGTAAGTTGTTATCAGGAAGACGGTGCTGCCCATCTCCTGTTTTAGTTTGCCACTGTCGCCTCTTACGACACCCACGGGACGACTAGGGGTAGTTGATATTCTTACACCTCCACTACCCTATAAAACTTCTGGGTATATTTCACATCTGGTAAATGTGAGATTCTTATAATGTCTGTGATATCCTTTGCGATTGTCACCTATTACATCATCAACTAGATGATATATTTTTTATAAAACTGAAGTGATAAATCAATTTACAGTGCACCTGATGGTAAGTGGGAACTGCAGTTAATGAACATCTGCAGTCAACTTAAAATGAAAAAGGTTACAAATGCGTTTTCACCTCAGAGACCTATAATAGCATGTCTCAGCCTGTAATATAAACATACTGGCTCTCTATATCCTTCACATCAGAAGTAGTGCACGGACTGCTCATATAAACAAATCAAAATAAACAATTCTTATCATTGAATGGCTCGAGTGGAATATCGTAATCGAAAATTTGTTAAAATAACACTGTCTACAACACACGCGCACACACATCATGTACTCACGTACACACACGCACACATGCACGCACACCCACTCGCACACACAGACACACACACACGCACACTTACACCCACACACACACATACTCACTCACTCAATTGCTCACTCACTCACACATGCACACACACACACTTACATACTCACTCACACACACACACCACTCACTCACACACAAACACACACACACACACACATACACAAACACAACACACACACACACACACACACACACACACACACAACACACACACATTTTTTATAATTAATCTATCAAAAGGAAAGGAATGTAATGTTATCCTTGTAACTAAAGTGTTGTATATTAATTAAGGAAGAACGAGTTTTCCTGTCACAAGTTTTGGAAAATACTTAAAAGTACTCTTGTGCGATACATGAGTTCGTGGTCCAGCTGGTAGTGTACTTCTTGATGGCTAAATTGGATAAGATTTAATGGAATTTATAGTAATGGTTAAGATCTAATGCTTCTATTTATATCTATTTTTAATAGTTTAAGAGTGACTAATGGTAAGTGGAAGCTAAGAATCAAAATGACGATGCGTTGTCACCCCTAATAACTGATATGGACTACCCCTATTTTGTGATAGAAATAAATATAAGTGAGATAGAGACCGCCTAGTGATGTTTCGAATTAAAGTATCCAATACGGATACTTTCCCCGGATATCCGTCTTAACTACAATATTCTTTACTTTCTGGGGTTCCAACGGGACCCTATTACTATGCCTCCGCTGTAATAATAATAATAATAATACCTGTCGAATTGTAAGAAAATTCATGCAATTGGAAGAAAATGAAATAGTTACCCAGAACACATAACCTACATAAATACTCACTCCATGCTGCATTTACTTGGCTTCGGCCCGTATGTGCAGTAAAAACTAGCCAAAGAGCTAAGAAACTGAAATGTTTTCCCTATCATAATAATAATAAAAATAAATTAAAAATTAAAGGCGGCTCCTCTACTAGAAACCTGTTTTACCATGGTACGGAACCCTTCATGCGTGAGTCCGACTAGCACTTTGGCGGTTTTTTATGGATAATTTTAGGTATCTTCTAAATTGGTTACTCTGGTTCAACTGGAAATATCACCTTTACGGGTATTATCACCCAGGGAAACGCCAAGTATAGAGATACTTAACTGAGTGACTTTACGCATTATCATACCATTTTTATTATATCATACCAGTTCCATATGTCATCACTGTCAATACGAACTGGTTGTAAACACGTATTGGTTGTTTTAAGTTTAAGCAGATGTGTCTCAACCACTCGTAGCCGAATTGGATCCGATTTTATTTCTTTGGTTAAAATAAAACAGTAAAGATGTTAACAAATAATTAGTTAAGATCCGCCTAGTAGTAAAATAAGCAATATGTCCTACCTAGTTTATAGATAACCTTCTGCCCTTCATCTTAGGAGTATTTCCACAAAATAACGCCTAATTCAATTATTACCATTACAGTAACGTAACCGTTAAAGCCTATTAAAGTCCACTGCTAAAAATAGCCCTCCACCATAGATTGCCTCATAGAGGGATATTTACAATAGTTGTAATGTTACTGTTGATTTAATAATTTCACCTCTCACTGCGTCATGTGCTCCTGGTAGATTATCTTTTATACATCCATCCATTACAGCCTATTAAAGTCCACTGCTGAACATAGGCCTCCCCCATAGATTGTCTCATAGAGGGATATTTGCAAAAGTTGTAAAGTTACTGTTGATTTAATAATTTCACCTCTCACTGCGTCATGTGCTCCTGGTAGATTATCTTCTATACATCCATCCATTACAGCCTATAGTCCACTGCTGAACATAGGCCTCCCCCATAGATTGCCTCACAAGGAGGATATTTACTATAGTCGTCACGCTTGGCAAGCTGGTTGGCAATCGCAATTTTTTATTTTTAGTCGTTATTAGGAAGATGTTACTTGCCCACATCTCCTGATTCGTTTTCCTCTGTCACTTCTTAACCACGGTATGGTATAGGGTTGTGTATTATTCACTTTAACAAATTATTCGAGGGAATAATAAAACCAAAGGTGTGTGGGATGTTCAGGGACAAGGTGGTGGAGCGCTGGGTGCAGGCGGCAGCTCGCAGCGCGCGCGCACGAGGCGGGGGCACCGAGCGCGTACATTGCGCGCGAGCTGCGGCACATGCACGCCCCTACCGCTACTGTTACTTGCAGCGAGGTAATGTACACCGAAGTTATTGTTTTAATCGTTTGCGTGACCATACCGTTAGAAGCGATGTAATGCGAGTATATTGCGCGGTTTCTACAACGAATAGGCGTGCCTTTCATCACCGCTAGAGGTAATGAACAGCAAATTGTTTTAATCGATGACCACAGGATTTATTGGTAAGGGTTCTCGAGTCACATTTTTAGGTAGGCCGGCCCGGCTAGCATAGGCGGGGGACAATTTTATCCCCGGGGCAAGGAGAAAATGTTTATTCCCTCGCTTAGTTTTATCCACCCTTAGAGCATGGGTACACCGGTGGATATAATATCCACAGTAACTAAATTGGGAGATGACTTAGATAGATTTTTTTCTATGAATTCAACCCACGTCCAATGAACTGGAATAAAATTGTCCCTTTCAAATGTCAAAAAGCATAATTTTTTATCTTTTATTTGGCTCCATGCTACGGACGGGGGATATATGTCTACCCGTTATGTCAAACGGGGACATACTTCTCCCCGTTTGACATAACGAGATAATTTTGTCTCTTGTCAGTGGATATAATCGGGGGTAAAATTTTTGTCAAGTGTAAAGAGTGTAAAGATTTTATTGCGCTTTTTCGACAGCTCATTGGCGTGCCTATCGCCACCGCTAGAGGCAATGTACAGCGAAGGATTATTTTAACCGTTGAACACAGGATTTATTGGTAAGGGTTTTCGACAGTCGAGTCAAGTCGCAATTTCGAGATTACGGCCATATTTTGTGCGCTGCAACGTATACACCATGCCCTTACTGCTACTGCTACTTGCAGTGAAGTAATGTAGACCGAAACTATTGTTTTCATCGCTTGTGTGACGCTAGTAGAAATCTAATGTGATTACAATCTACAATCGCTAAGTCTGCTTCTTGCAGAGGTAATGTTTTTTTTTATAGAATAAGGGTGACAATCGAGTACACAACTCACCTGATGGTAAGTGGTTGCTGTGGCTCTCGATCTCTCGATTAAGGATCAAAATGCAGATTTGCAGCGAAGCAATTTTATAAAAATACGTAAAAGGAAAATGTCGTAGTAATTGTTATTGTGTACAGTAGTTAACCTGGTGTAGTGACGTGTAACATCCACGACAATATGTATATATTAGAGTTAAGTTTATAATAAAGGTAGTCTAATTAAAAAAAAAGAGTAATACGCCTCTCTTCTCACTGACCGACACTTTTCTAACATCGCGATACTGTCAGGCGGTGCGAAAAAGCACGCGCACCGCCGAGACATTTTTTGTCGTTGCAAAAATAATAATAGAAAAATAATTTAATTAAAATTAACTAAATTGACACAATACCGGATGTGACAATAAAATCCAAAACTGAGACGCGAAAAGAGGCCGCAATAGTATTATTTTATGGAGATTATCGTATATATATATAGTCTACAAGAGGAACACGCATCTCTTCTCATTGACACCTTTCCAACATTACACAGGTCCAGTACTTGTGACACAGTATCTAAGTCTCCCTCCGAATATCAAGACAGAAACAAATGACTATTTGTTTGTGCATTATATGACACTATAAATATATCATTCGCAGCAGTTGAATAACAAATCCGTGTAGTGGCGATGTAAGAATATCCATTACATGAAACCGTCCCGTGGGTGTCGTAAGAGGCGACAGAGGGAATCCGAAACAGGAAATGGGCAGCAGCATCTTTCTAATAGCAACTAAAAAATAATAACTGTAACTTTTAACAAAATGTAAAAACAGACTTCAAATTGCTAAAAAAAGTTATTTATTATTATTTAGTTATTTATTATATAAGGGTGGAATTTTGATCCAAATTTATATGGGACAACCCTTGATGTATAACCTATTTAATAAGGAAATAATCATCAAAATTAGTTTACAATCCGCAAAGATATCGAGTAACATACATCATCATCATCATCATTACAGCACTTCACAAGTCCACTGCTGAACATAGGCCTCCCCAAGGAATGCCACAAAGCACGGTCCTGAGCCACCTGCATCCATCGACTTCCTGCATGTCTCACCAGGTCGTCCCGGAAACGATGCTGCCACACTCGGTCTACAGCTTTGACAGTTGGCTCTTTCTGGCAGACAGATCTCTGGCAAAGACTTTGGAGTCTTGGTTACGCTCGATCGCTTCTTCAATACAAGCTGTATTGAAGTTGCGTAAGTCCCGCCGCATGCATTTGGAGATCTGTCTGTTCAGTTGCTTGTATGCTGTCAAATCTGTTGAACAGTGTAGCTTCATCTCCAGTCTAACATCCATGAGATTAAGAGTGTGATCGGAGAGTTTTTGTGTTCTTCTGCGGCGGGTCTTGCAGAACTTAGCTCCAACCGCATGGACAGTTTCCACGAGCTTGTCATTCATATCGTCCACTTCATTGCAGTCTTCTAGGCACTGAAAACGGTTTTGTAACTCGAGCTGAAAGGTTTCGGGACTTTGGAACAGAGCACAAGGGGGACGGAGCGTTGACATCATTAGATGAGACCTCTCCAACTTAACGTTTAGGTTCAGTGTGCCTCTAACCATTCGGTGATCGCTACCAGTTTTCACCCTCGCGATCACGGAGACATCACTGAACAGTTGTCGTCTGGTCGTCATAATGAAGTCAATCTCATTTTTTGTTGAACCGTCGGGGCTCGACCAGGTCTACTTCCTGTGAGGCCGCTTCTGGAAGAAAGAGTTCATCATAAAGAGTCCCTCTTTCTCCATGAAGTCGTCCAGCTACTGGCCCCTTGGGTTCCGTTTCCCTATTCCAAATTTCCCTACTTTCAGCTCACCGTTCTCTCTTGTGCCTACTCTTGAGCCTAGATTTGCATTGAAGTCTCCCATTAACACCGTATAGTGGGTTTTGGAGGAATGCATGGCTCTAAAGATATCCTCATACATTTCTTCCACTTCCTGATCGGGGTGTACCGAGGTTGGTGTGTAAACCTGTATGACCTTCAGCGAATACCGTTTGGTGATTCTGAGTATAAGGTACGCAACCCTCGTCGACACACCCTCAATCCTTACAACGTTGTTAACGAGAGACTTGTGGACGATAAATCCGACACCTCCTTGGGACAGATGGTCGCCCTCCCGGTGATAGAACAAGTTGCCGGATTCGAGGATTACCGTGTCCTCCCCCTCTCTTCGGACCTCGGATAATCCTATAATATGCCAGCGTAACTTGTCTATCTCTTCTTCCAGCTCCACGATCTTCTCGTCAGTCCTCAGGGTGCGTGCGTTGTATGTTGCCAGGTCGAGTCGTTTTAGGTGGCAACCGAACCTCCACCGGAGATTCTTAGCACCCTCTGCCCCGCCGTTACCATGGTCGCCACCGTAGCCAGGAATAGCGGGGCCGCCGGGGACTGGGGGCCGTCTCTTTGTTGCTCTCATTATTGGGGGGTATATTGCCATAGTTGCCACGCTTGGTGAGCGGGTTGGCAACCGCAGTTTTTTATTGTACTTTTGCTGTTAGCAGGAAGATGCTGCTGCCGACCTCCTGCCTGTTTGCATTTGTCGCCTTTTACGACACCCACGGGAAGATATGGGGTAGTGGATATTCTTAACCGCCACTACACGGCACGGAGTAACATACATACAAAAAATAAATTAAAAAACATATTACACTCGAATTGAGAACCTCCTCCTGTCTGAAGTCGGTTAAAAATTGAGAGTCTGTTAAGCATGGCAACTTCGTTGAATATCCCTATATAGTAAAAAAACATTATGTTGCACAGTTATTTTTAATTATAATTGACTTGGCAGAGATCACTTCATTCACAAGGTCCAAGGGTTGTGATCCACATTTCTAATTCAATTTCGGTAGCACACAGAAAGATAAACATCTAGTTAACGGTAGGCTTAAGTTTACCCGCCGTTATTAAGGATTCAATAGCCAATAAATCATAAGTGTGCGATCTAGTTCAGAAGTAATATAATGAAACTTTGATAAAGCACTAAGTTTGGCTTCATCGGGAATTAGAATCTGGCTTAAATATTGTAGGTTATGAAAATTAAAAAAAGTTTACAATGACCAACGTCTTCTTATTTATTTACTTTTTTAACATTTTTTTTAATTTATTTGGTAATGGACTCGTACTCTTGTACTTTCGCCAGTGTCATGTATATTAAGAAATTATTTTATACGTATAGTAATTCGTTTGAAAACTTCTTTACAACAAGCTGATATTTTTATAGAACAAGGATGAGAAACGAGCACATAGTCCACCTGATGGTAAGTGGATACTGTAGCCCATAGACATCTGTACCTATCTTCGATTAAGAATCAAAATGCAGATGCGTTGTCACCCCAGAGGACTAAGATGCCTCGTTTTCAGTAAATAGGATCTCCGGTTCTCTACACTCACCATATGAAACACAGCACCATTAAGCTGCTATTTTACGTTGGTATTTTGTGAGCGCGTGGTCCAACCCGGTCGAGTTGTTATCAGGAAGATGCTGCTTGCCAATTTCCGGTGTCAGTTTCCTTCGGACACGCGGTCACACGCACACACGGGATACGGAGTAGTCAATTTGCTTAGACGCGGGCTGAGCACTTCCCGAGCGGCTTAGGGCCACTGTCCCATATATTTGTCCCGTTACGCAAATAAAATTAAATAAAGCACTACATGTGCGGTAAAAACTGTGGGTCGTCCTCATTTAAAGATAAGCAATTAGTTTCATCAGTTTCCACATAATATGTACACATTAATTTGTTTAAACGTGAAATAAAATAAAATAAGTTTTAATTTTTTTATTATTTTGGTTCGGACAACCCTAGCAATTCATTGTTTATGTCGGCTTTTGCGACAACATCAAACGCGGTGACTGACTGTATGTTCTTCTTAGGTTGAGCCGCCATTACACGGTTAATGTCATTGATTACTTAACCTTGATTGACAGTATCTCCTCAAACAAGAACGGAGCACCGCTTAGCAATAGTGGAGGGTGCGGCGTGGGTGATGGTTCGCGTGGGTGTCGGCGGTGTGGATGCGGGGGGTGTGGGGGGTGCGGGGGAGGTGGAGGCGAAGTTAATGCTGGCGGCCAGGGTGGGGGGGAGCGCGCGCGCCGCGTACACGGGCGCCGTGCCCCTCACGCACCCCCTGGCGCTGCTGCACTACACCGCCGCTCAGGGGGTGAGTGCACTCACTAATGTTTCACGGACATTTAACGCAGTTACAATTGTAGAACTTTCGACGTCAATACGTCTTTAAGTTTGCTTCCTTAGTGGGGGGCAATTCAGAACACTGATGATAACAAAATCGGGGGATTCAGCTTGGTGTTGATGCCACATATCGTTTATCTGCATTTACACCACACGATAGCTGAAAGATCCAAGAAGTCGGTACATTAGAGAACTGTGTCGTAAGGCGCGCGGTGGATGGGGCAGCGACGCCATTTTGAGGTTGTTTTGTTACGTATATATATTCACGTACAAGCACAACACAAGGGCCGTGTCCACAATACAGCCACACCCTGATTTTTTTTTTATAAAACAGAGCGACAAACGAGCTTACCGTCCACCTGATTGCAAGTTTCACTCAGTGGAGCCATGATGTAGCTATAATATTATGGTGTTTCCACAAATGGGTCGGCTCGACCGGGGAAAGACGGCTGGTCTTCGCATGATACCAGCATATAATAACAGTTTAATGCAGCTGTGTTTCACATACAGCAGTGAATGTAGAGAACTGAACTCGACGAGACATTTAACATTAGTCCTTAGAGGTGACAAAGCATTTGATTCCTAACCGAGTACAGATGTAGATTGAATTAATGAATACGTGGTAGAGCCATACTGCAGCTATATTAGTTGTATAGTTGTAGCACGAATGGGTCGGCTCGACCGGGGAAAGACCACGCTCTCACAGAATACCAGTATTAAATAGCAGCTGAAAGCTGCTGTGTTTCGTATCGTGAGTGTAGAGAACCGGAGACCCTTTTAACTGCAAACGAGGCATTCTATCTTAGTCCTCACGGGTGACAACGCATCTGCATTTTGATATTTAATCGAAGATAAATGTAAATATCTATGGACCATAGCATCCACTTACCATCAGGTGGACTGTGTGCTCGTTTGTCGCCCCCATTCTCATTATCATCATCATCATCATCACCATTACAGCCCTCCACAAATCCACTGCTGAACATAAGCCTCTCCTAATGCACGGTCCTGAGCCACCTGCATCCATCGACTTCCAGGAAGTCCCCATTCTATAAAAATTAAAATATTTTTTTTATAGAATAAAAGTGACAAGCGAGCACACAGTCCACCTGATGGTAAGTGGTTGCTGTGGTCCATAGACATCTACATCTATCCTCGATTACGAATCAAAATGCAGATGCGTTGTTACTCCTGAGGACTGCGATGGAACGCCTCGTTTTCAGTCAAAAGGGTCTCCCGTTCTCTAGATTCACCATACGAAACTGCGTATTCATTCGTGCTTCAACCATAGTTTAGCTGCAGCGTGACTCTACCGCGTAAAATATGGGTCTCGGCATTCACTTATTATCAGGTGGACTGTGTCGCCTTACCTTAATTCTATAAAAGTGGCAACTGCATCCTATGGACAGCCGCACACAACTTCAAACAATAAAGCTACAGTTACATTATCACATCTAAAGAATAAGATGGAATATGTTGTAGCCTTCTGGTGCTCTTTATCTGGGAACGAAAAGGAGAGGGAGTTGTTCTCTCCCGAGAAAGGCCGCCTCATGGCGTTCCCGTGTCCCACCATTATGCGGTCAAGGCGAAACCCCATAGGGTTTCAGTCGGTGCGAGTTCGACATAACCCGTTCCTGTTCCCACGAGACGGGTATGCATAGGCATTTCCCCACATAAAAATGTCATAACCTGTAATTAAACTGCCTCTATGTATAGGAATTTCCCCCACATAAAAATGTAATAGCCTGTAATTAAACTGACTCTATGCATAAGCATTTCCCCACATAAAAATGTCATAGCCAGTAATCAAACTGCCTCTATGCATAAGCATTTCCCCACATAAAAAATGTCATAGCCTGTAATTAAACTGCCTCTATGCATAGGAATTTCCCCACATAAAAATGTAATAGCCTGTAATTAAACTGACTCTATGCATAAGCATTTCCCCACATAAAAATGTCATAGCCTGTAATCAAACTGCCTCTATGCATAAGCATTTCCCCACATAAAAATGTCATAGCCTGTAATTAAACTGCCTCTATGCATAGGCATTTCCCCCACATAAAAAATGTCATAGCCTGTAATTAAACTGCCTCTATGTATAGGCATTTCCCCACATAAAAATGTCATAGCTTGTAATTAAACTACCTCTATGCATAGGCATTTCCCCACATAAAAATGTCATAGCCAGTAATCAAACTGCCTCTATGCATAAGCATTTCCCCACATAAAAAATGTCATAGCCTGTAATTAAACTGCCTCTATGCATAGGAATTTCCCCACATAAAAATGTAATAGCCTGTAATTAAACTGACTCTATGCATAAGCATTTCCCCACATAAAAATGTCATAGCCTGTAATTAAACTGCCTCTATGCATAGGCATTTCCCCCACATAAAAAATGTCATAGCCTGTAATTAAACTGCCTCTATGTATAGGCATTTCCCCACATAAAAATGTCATAGCTTGTAATTAAACTACCTCTATGCATAGGCATTTCCCCACATAAAAATGTAATAGCCTGTAATTAAACTGCCTCTATACATATGCATTTCCCCCACATAAAAATGTAATAGCCTGTAATTAAACTGACTCTATGCATAAGCATTTCCCCACATAAAAATGTCATAGCCAGTAATCAAACTGCCTCTATGCATAAGCATTTCCCCACATAAAAAATGTCATAGCCTGTAATTAAACTGCCTCTATGCATAGGAATTTCCCCACATAAAAATGTAATAGCCTGTAATTAAACTGACTCTATGCATAAGCATTTCCCCACATAAAAATGTCATAGCCTGTAATCAAACTGCCTCTATGCATAAGCATTTCCCCACATAAAAATGTCATAGCCTGTAATTAAACTGCCTCTATGCATAGGCATTTCCCCCACATAAAAAATGTCATAGCCTGTAATTAAACTGCCTCTATGTATAGGCATTTCCCCACATAAAAATGTCATAGCCAGTAATCAAACTGCCTCAATGCATAAGCATTTCCCCACATAAAAAATGTCATAGCCTGTAATTAAACTGCCTCTATGCATAGGAATTTCCCCACATAAAAATGTCATAGCCTGTAATTAAACTGCCTCTATGCATAGGCATTTCCCCCACATAAAAAATGTCATAGCCTGTAATTAAACTGCCTCTATGTATAGGCATTTCCCCACATAAAAATGTCATAGCTTGTAATTAAACTGCCTCTATGCATAGGAATTTCCCCACATAAAAATGTAATAGCCTGTAATTAAACTGACTCTATGCATAAGCATTTCCCCACATAAAAATGTCATAGCCTGTAATTAAACTGCCTCTATGCATAGGCATTTCCCCCACATAAAAAATGTCATAGCCTGTAATTAAACTGCCTCTATGCATAGGAATTTCCCCACATAAAAATGTAATAGCCTGTAATTAAACTGACTCTATGCATAAGCATTTCCCCACATAAAAATGTCATAGCCTGTAATTAAACTGCCTCTATGCATAGGCATTTCCCCCACATAAAAAATGTCATAGCCTGTAATTAAACTGCCTCTATGTATAGGCATTTCCCCACATAAAAATGTCATAGCTTGTAATTAAACTGCCTCTCTTTACCCTTCATAACGGGACTATTTGGTAGCAGCAAGGTGAAATTGTGGTACCTTATTTACATGGGGAAATGCCTACGCTACCGCCTTGTGGAGGCAAGGATAGCTTATGTCGGACTCGCACCGACTAAAATCCCATGGTGTTCCATCTTCGCCGCATATTGCCAGTGCCATTGGAACGCTTTCGCACACATTTACAGCCCCACCCGCGCACTACCACAAAGGGTTGGTTCCTATTCAGACAGACTCATAGACTTTCTCACGTGAGCTTACTTCCAGCATAGCATATTTTTTAGACCATTTCTATATAACAAGCTCAATAAGTCACTAATGATATATTGTAGTGTAAAGTATAAGGAATGTAATATAACTGTGAGGGAGTTTCTGAATAAATTAAACTACGAAGTCACAGAGAAGTTGTTAGAAATTCTAAAATAGTTTGTTTTAATTGTAGGTAACAAATAATTGTTATTTAGTTATTTTATTTAATATAGTTTAATTATTTAAATATTCTAGTGTCGTACATTATTAAACCCTAGTGCAAGTGATGGTCTGAAACACATGTACTCCACCTAGTTCAGGCAGGTAGCTAATATTATAAACTTGACTTTTCAATTTTTCTTTTGTAGATTCTACATTATTAAGCTACACATAGTTTAAATTTTATTATAGCATGTTATTTTTGTTAGACTTATTGTTACTTTAATTAATTGTAATCATATTTGTTTCCTGTATATAAACATGTGTAATTGGAAATGAAATAAAAATTATTATTCTTATAGCCTGTAATTATTAGAATATTACGTCTAAGTTTGTAATACTGGCTATGTATACCTCAGACTGGGACACAGCAGTGCAGAGATGATATAGAGTAGTGCATTCTCATACGCAGCTAAATCAATTATTGAGTTTTTCTGTCAACAAACTCTCACTAACACCTTTAATCAGGATGTTGACGGTGTTTCAGGCCCCGTGCCTCGGAAAATACGTAAAACCGTAGGTCATGTGCCTGATCACTCTCTGATCGTGTCTGATTACTATACCATCGAAATATGAGAGTGAGGGAATAGATAGTGCACTTGTGGTTGTGCATTCACTCGGGCACTATAATATTGCTGTGCGCAGATGTCTTGTCTCCGTTGAGACTGGCTACCGTGACCGAAATTCGATCTGTCACTACATGATGAATATTAACTGAGTTTTCTGTTAGTTGGGGCATAATTTGATTATGGTTTTTATCAGGGTTACTACGCCGCGGCTGTAGGCCCTCCGACGTCTACGGCATGTAACGAGCGTGGAATCTTGTGGCAGCTGTGGCATCCTTCCCTGGAGGCGGCTCTGGACTCGCATTGCTCTGATCTGTCAACTGTGGCTAGAGTGGCCGGTGCTCTTAACGCTACAATAGACCGCATGCGAGAGGGATCCTATCAGGTCAGTAGCTTAATTTAGTTTGTTGATTAGTTATTAAGTAAATTAATTATCGTCATCTTTACAGCCCTTTACAGCCATTCACAAGTCCACTGCCGAATACAAGCATCCCCCAAGAAATGCCCCAAAGCACGGTTCTGAGCCATCTGCATCACCGACTGCCTGCATGTCTTACCAGGTCTTCACTCCAACCAGTGGGAGGCGACCCTACACTTTGCTTAGCAAGATGAGGTTGCCACTCGAGAACCTTCCTTTCCCGATTAAGTAAATTTCTTGTAAATAATTTTAATGGTAATTAACACAATATATCAGGAATTAAAAATATTTTTGTGTCTTTGTTCTTCCTCTTTACGTGTTTTACGTGGTGTAGCAGCTATGATAGCTATACACAGCTGCAGCGCGAATCAGTCGGATCGACCGGGGACCACGCTCTCATAGAATACCAGCGTGTAATAGCAGCTTAATGCTGCTGTGTTTCGTATGGTGAGTGTCGAGAACCGGAGACCATTTCAAATAGTAAAGAGACATTCCACCTTGGTTCTCAGGGGTGACAACGCGTCTGCATTTTGATTCTTAATCGACGACAGATACATGTCTATGGGCTAAACCATCCAATTACCATCAGGTGGACTGTGTTCTTGTTTGTTATGCTATAATTCTAACATTTCATCGTTAGAAGTCCAGTACTAGATTTGTGTCCCGTTCCATTGGTTCAACTATAATATAGCTGCAGCGTGGCTCTACCACATGTCCACGCACATATCTACATACCATCAGGTAAACTGCACTCGTTTTTCTCTCTCCAGGAAAAATATTTTTACTGTATTGTGTGTACTCTAGGTCTCTATTCAGCTGTATTCTGTGTATTCTAGGGCTCTATTCAGCTTCTAAGTCGTTACTTGGCATCATGTGCGTTTCGAGCGAGGCTGCTGCACTGCGGCTCGTACGACAAGTGCCTGGCTCGTTTCTGCGCACACGCACACAGATCCCACCATCTGCTGCTCACTCTCGACTCGTGAGTCTACTTGTGTTTTTTTATTATTACATTAGATAGTAAAAGACATTTCATAGATCCCTGCAGTTAATCGCTTAAAGTTTGATTCACTTAAAGTCCTTGGAAGTCAAGGTAGTGTAGAAAAGTACCTTGGAGTGCAAATACATTTTTTGATAATTTTCAAATTTTATATCCGAAAGGGCTAATAGTTTTTCTTATCTTATTTAACTTTTATAAGTCTAAATTTTGACTTTTCTAAGTGTAAATTCAGGATTATCTATTTTATTACAAGTTCTCAACTTATGAAGATGTATTTAATTGTTCATTCATAAATAGGATTTATGTTTTCATTTATATTTTGGCTAATGACAGTTAAGATATTAATTTATTTAATGTATTACGGGAAAGCAAATTAAAATTACGGGCACTGCATTTTTGCAAAATAAAATAGTATTAACATGAGCTGCACGTTTTCACAATAAAATACCATAAGAAATTATGTTATGAAAGTAACTAAAATAAACAAACCTAGCAGTGGAAACATGTGCAAGTTGACAAACCAATCTAATAAGCTGTAATATGTTTGTGGTCTCCATTGTCATTTATCATCAAACGTGATCGCTAGAAATACTGCTTCCACAAAAACACCAGTTTAACAAATTAAACAACATCAGGAATCTATGTAACAACATAAATTTAATTTGTTAATTTTTAAAATATCTTGTGCCAATTTTATTTACCAGTTTTATGGTGAGTGTTAAAGGTTTATCTTTTTTACTTAGCACCGTTTTCTTCACTTAAGATCTTAGTTATTCGGTTGACCTTAAATATTAGTAAAATATCTTCATACGCTATCAGTTAGACTTTAAACGAAAAAGTGCAGATCATTTATACATGTACAAAACATTAATGGCCCAAAAATAGATCCTTGTGGGAGGCTCATTTATAGAACATACAGAATCAACGCCATAAATCTGAACATTTTGAATCTTATTACTGAGATAGAAATACAGTAAACGAAGAGCATGTTCATTAAGGCCGTAATATTTTAATTTATATACTAACGTAGCGTGATTTACTAAATCAAATACTTTAGATAAATCCTCCTAAGCACGATAAATGTCTCTAAATCAATCATCCGTTGGACTTTTAGTTCGTTTGTCACTTTAACTAATATAAAATGTGGTTTTTGCACTGTGAAGGATAAACACGTGAACAGGTATAGTGAACATTTGTCCTGTTCATGATAAAAATTTGTAAGAGGGAACGTTCACATCACATCGCAGCACTTGTTTTCACTAATAGTTCACATACACAGACATTTAATATACAAAATTATAACATTTACGCATCAAAGTCCACTTGAAGCCATTATTTAAACAATAATACAGGAGCCATGATCCGCCGGCAACAAAGTTGCCTAAAACGAGGCTACCCTTACATACTCATTTTTGAATCGTGTCGTATAGAATAGAATAGAAACGTTTTATTCAATATAGATTATAAAAAATAATACTCATAGAAAGTCACTCTTATGCTTAATTTACCACTGGTTCGAAAAATACCTCAGCCCTGGGAAGAACCCGAAAGAACCCAGCGAGAATTAAAAAAAAAGAACAGTTTATAATCGTTAAATTTACACAATAATTGACAACACAAAACGATCACCTTTCATACGTGGTAGAGCCATGCTGCAGCTATATCAGTAAAATAATTGTAGCACGAATGGGTCGACTCGACCGGGGAAGGACCACGCTCTCACAGAATACCAGCGTAAAATAGCAGCTAAAAACTGCTGTGTTTCGTATGGTGAGTGTAGAGAACCGGATACCCTTTTTACTAGAAAAAAGGCTTTCCATCTTAGTCCTCACGGGTGACAACGCATCTGCATTTTGATTCGACAACGAAGATAGATGTAGATGTCTATATGGGCCACAGCAACCACTTACCATCAGGTGGACTGTGTGCTCGATTGTCACCCTATCCTATAAAAAAAATCGTAGTTGAGGATGGATGTAGAAGTCTATGGGCCACAGCAACAACTTACCATCAGGTGGAGCGTGTGTTAGTTTATCACCCTAATCTATACAAATAAATAAAATTGAAGTGTCTGTTTGTAATGTCGAAATAACATCTTTTTACTATATGCATATGAAAGTATATACGGTACTTATAACTAAAACACGATTTTAAAAATTTTTGTCTATCTTTCTGTCTGTCTGTCTGTTTGTTCCGGCTAATCTTCGAAACGGCTAGACCGATTTTGACCGAACTTTCACTGACACATAACTGATGTTATAAGAAGAAACTTAGGCTACTTTTATTTTAGAAAAAGAATTAAGGTTCTGCGCAAATACTTAAAACCTATGAAATCCAATCGTAATAAATTAACGCGGGCGAAGTCGCAGGCAACAGCTAGTACTACAATAAAAACCTCATTTCCAGGGATTATTAACATCCATAAATTCCTTAATATTATAAATACTTCATATTTCTTAATTATCCGTAATCCTAGTAATAATAAGTAAATTTAGAAGATGTTTTCTTCCTCGCACGACCTCCTTGTGGAATCGATTACCATCAGCGATTTTTCCGGACCGATATGACTTAGGGACCTTCAAGAAAAGAGCGTACTCCTTTTTAAAAGGCCGGCAACGCATCTGCGATTCCCCTGGTGTTGCAGTCATGAAGCAAATACAAAGAGGAGACGTTGTAATTAAATTTCACTATGTAACAACGCGTGACAATCTGCGGGGTGAGGGGATGCAAAGCCCCGCCCGCTACACTATCTACATCTACCGATAAATAGTAAAACTACTCGAATCTTTCCATATCGATGTTGCAATGTAGCTTAGCTACCTTGGCGGTAGATGGCGGCATGTCCACAAAATGTTATAAACTTTAAAAATAACACTTTGGCGATTAAAATTTCTTTATGTCTGAATGCAAAGAAATTTCAGCACCTTCGTATGATTATTTTATCATTACTGAGCTCTACGTACCTTTATATTTTTAGTTCACAGGACACAAAGTGTCGCCATCTAGTGTGGAATATATTTAATTATATTTGAAAGCCGACGCAAAGAGATTTTTCTAGAACTATTTTAATAAATTAGGTGTAAAATTACTTACAAATGAAATGTGATGCCATCCATAGCATCGGAGCGTCTATCTCATGAAGCAAATACATTCAGACAGAGAAATTTTAATCGCCAAAATAATATTTTCATAGTTTTCATAATAATCTTGGGAACACGCCGCCATCTATCGTCAAGTAAACCTCATAAAAAATAACAAAAAGACAGGGCCGCAATTAGAATTCAATTATTTTACCCAGTAACCCAACATTCAATATTAAAATGAAGGAAATTGTACATGGCTGATTTTTACGAAATGTTTAAGTTATATTTAAGTGACATTCTATATGCAAAGAATCACTTAAATACAATTTAAATATGTTTATCATTTCGTGAAAGTCAACCAAGAAATATTTATTTTATCCATAAAATAAAGTCTCTTTGAAACTAAATATTCTATGTTCAATATTAATTTGGAACTAAATATCCTACTTATCTCACTAATATTATAAAGGCGAAATTTTGTGTGCTCTTTCTGTCTCCTTGAGCTTATTCCACACTAAGTATGTGTAATTTTTTCACGCAGAAATAGCTGGATTATTATTTATGTGTGGGTTATACTACTTAATATCTCTGAGGGAGAACAAATAATAGACAAATTATTATAATTAATATAATTTTATTTACAAATTAATTAAAATATAAATATTTTATTCCAAACTAGGCATTCGAATGCACTTTTTGAATGCCAATCTAAGAACAATAAATTGTATTTAAGTGATTCTTTGCATATAGAATGGCACTTAAATATAACTTAAACATTTCGTAAAAATCAGCCTAAGTACAATTTCCTGCATTTAATATTAAAAGTTGGATTACTGGGAAAAATAATTGAATTCTAATTAGGGACCTGTCTTTTTGTCATTTTTATGAGGTTTTCTTGACGAGAATACGGCCTGTTCTCAAAATGATTATAAACTATAAAAATGATATTTTGCGATTAAAATTTCTTTATGTCTGAATGCAAAACAAATTTCAGCACCTTCGTATGATTATTTTACCAATACTGAGCTCTACCTTTACATTTTAGTTCACATGACACAAAGTGTCGCCATCTAGTGTCGAATATATTTAATTATATTTGAAAGCCGACGCAAAGAGATTTTTCTAGAACTATTTTAATAAATTAGGTGTAAAATTACTTACAAATGAAATGTGATGCCATCCATAGCATCGGAGCGTCTATCTCATGAAGCAAATACATTCAGACAGAGAAATTTTAATAAAATACACCGATTTGCGATTTTTTCAACACATAAGCGCACAGGACGAATGCTGACAGTATACTAACTAAAGCCACGCCCACTATGATGACGTCAGGACCTACTTAGAATCACAGTGCACAGTTGCTTATGCCGTCTCCCCTTTGTATTAGCTTCATGGTTGCAGTTGTTCATGGGCGGCGGTAGTCACTTACCATCAGGTGAGCCGCATGCTCGTTTGCCCCCTCTCCTATAAAAAAAAATCCCATAAGAGTATTCAATGCTAGTTGGTAGTATCCCCGGTTGTCCCGCAGGTTGGTACGTGTGTGCGAGCGGGGCGGGAGGGCGGGGCTAGTATTCCCTCTGGAGCGTGCTGGACTCGCACGACGTGGCTGTAGGAGCGCGGACTGGTCGCATGATGCTGCGTGCATCAGGAGCTGTCTGTCCCACTTGCACGCACTCGCAGGTACTCTTTTATTTTATAGGATAAGGGTGACAAACGAGCACAAAATCTACCTGATGATAAGTGGATGCTGTGACCCATAGACATCTACATCTATCCTTGATCAAGGATTCAAATGCAAAAGCGTTGTCACCCCTGATGACTAATATGGAATGCCCTGTATCCAGTAAAAAGGGTCTCCGGTTCTCTACGCTCTCCATACGAAACACAGCACTGAGCAGCTATTTTACGCTGGTATTCTGTGAGGGCATGGTCGGGTCGACCTGGGAAGGACTATGCGATCCTTTTTACTGCAAACGAGGTATTAAATCTTTGTCCTCAGAAGTGACAACGCATCTGCATTTTGATGTTTAATCGAGGATGGATGTAGATATCTATGGGCCACAGGGTCCAATTATCATTAAGTGAACTGCATGCTCGTTTGTCACCTGTATTGTACATTAATAAATCTCATAGGAAAGATTTCCCACCTAACCTTGTCGTATCGTGCTAACATAAATACAATGGCGGATAAACGTTCACAACGCTGAATAAAACCGTAAATAACGTTAACACATATACGACGCTATTCCGAAGATATTCCGGACGTAAGTCTGAGCGAGATTAGAATGGCACTCCATCACCTTAAAAACGGCAAGTCCTCTGGCGAGTATAGAATTACAGTGGAACTTCTGAAAGCGGGTGGAAAATCAGTACGTGAAGTACTTCAAAAGCTCTTTAATTCCGTCCTCCATAGTTTTTTTTTATAGGATAGGGTGACAAACGAGCACACAGTCCACCTGATGGTAAGTGATTACTGTGGCCTATAGACATCTACATCTGTCCTCGCTTGCGAATTAAAATGCAGATGCGTTGTCACTCGTGAGGACTAAGATGGAATGCCTTTTTTCCAGTAAAAAGGGTCTCCGATTCTCTACACTCACCATACGAAACACAGCAGTTTTAAGCTGCTATTTTACGCAGGTATTCTGTGAGAGCGTGGTCCTTCCCCGGTCGAGCCTACCCATTCGTACTACAACTATACTACTAATATATCTGCAGCATTGCTTTACCACGTACAAAAAGTGGTACTACACCGGAGGTGTGGAATAGAAGTGCGGTGGTCTTGTTCTTCAAGAAAAGCGACAACACTCACTTGAAGAACTATAGACCGATTTCCCTTCTGAGCCGCGTCTACGTGCTATTTTAGAGTCATAACGAATAGACTCGCGCGTAGACTCGACTACTTCTACCGGCTACTTTCACGAACGGCTTACGTTCAGAACCAGAGTACGAAACCTATCCAATTGTATGACAGGGTGATGTTATATGCCCGACACTCGTCACCGCTGCATTGGAAGACGTTTTCAAGCTACTGGACTGTAAAGGATGCAGTATCAACATCAATGGCGAGTACATCACTCACCTTCGATTTGTCGACAATGTAGTCTTTATGTCAGAATCGCTGGAGGACCTACGCACTACGCTCAATGACCTCAATAGTGCCTCTCAACGGATGAGTCTTGAGATGTACATGAACAAAACAAAGATCATGTATAACGTCCATGTCACACATATGCCGGTAGTTGTTAGGAGCACTAAGCTCGAAGTTATTGACGAGAATTTTTACCTTGGACAAATAGACCGACTAGGTAAATCCAACTTCGACCGAGAGGTCAATCGACGGATTCAACTCGGCTGGGCAGCGTTCAGTAGATTACGAAACATCTTCTCGTCAGGTATACCTCAAAACTTGAAAACGAGATTGTACAACCAGTGCGTGTTGACAGTGATGACTTATAGATCTGAGACGTGGTCCTTCACTGCTGGATGTATGAGAAAGCTCAAGGTCGCTCAGCGAGCTGTGGAGAGGCTATATATTTGAAGTTTCTCTGCGTCGTAAACTTAGAAATGAGGGTATTTGCAACAGAACTAGAGCGACCGACATAGCACAACGGATTAATAAGTTGAAGTGGCAACGGGCCGGATATATAGCTCGAAGAACCGACGGCCAATGGCGAAGAAAGGTTCTCTCTCTCTCTCAGGTTCGTGTTTTGTGGCGTTCCTTGGAGATGATTATATGCATATAAATGAAATTGGTGTGTCTGTCTGTAATATCGAAATAATTGTCTTTTAATTGAGCTGTGGGGTTATTTAACATTATTTGCATGCAAAATTGTCCTCTCTGTGTGGAATTTTGAGCAGACTTGAGGAGACCATTAACCAAATCTTAAAGAGAATTAAGGAAATGCTTGTAACACTACAAGGGACACCAATTGGAAGAAATGTGATAACAAATGATAATGATGATTTACAAATAATTACTCCTGTTTAACCGTTACAGCCTATTAAAGTCCACTGCTGGAGATAGGCCTCCCCCATAGATTGCCACATAGGGGGGATATTTGCGATAGTTTCCATGCTAGGCAAGCGGGTAGGCAACCGCAGGTCTTTATTTTAAGTTGTTATAGACGCTGCTGTCCATCTCCTGATTTGTTTCCCTCTGACGCCTCTTACGACACCCACGGGATGATATGGTTTAGTGGATATTCTTACACCGCCACTACACGGTAACTCATGTATTTAATGGTATGACACTACAATACAGATAGGGTTGGTAGACGTGCATTATTTTAAAGGAAGTCCTTTATTCTAGACACAAAAAATGATCTTGTCCTCTCCTCTAATTTGAAATCTTTAATAGAGGACAATATAATACATGGTGATCGTTACCAAGCCATTTCTAATTTGCTTGTGTTATTAACTAATTGACATGTAATTTGACATTACATGATTGAAATCTGTTATTTAAAAAAAAGTCCCGCTGGGTTTCTTGCTAGTTCTTCCCAGGACAGAGGTTTTTTGTCCCGTACCAGTGGTAATCAAACAAAAGAGTGACATTCAATAAGTATTATTTATAATCTATATTGAATAAAAAAGTTTGTTTCTATATCGCGCGTATTCGACATTCCCTCTAATAGTTGAGGTCAAAGAGTTTAAAAATCGCTTTGAGGTGACGCGCAATGTTAGAGAGACAAACAGCGTTACATTACGTATTGATATAGTTTTTATATAATAAATGTTGCTATAAATACCATAACAGCATTTTCCTCCTTTAATTTTCTACCGACTTCTAAAAGGAGGAGGTATTCAGTTCGATTGTATGTTTTTTATGTGTGTTACCTCATAACTCTTTTCTAGGTGAACTGACTTCGATGATTCTTTTTTTATTTGAACGCTGGTGCTTCTTATGTGGCCCCATATAAATTTGATGAAGGTTTGACCAATAGTTTTTGAGTTATCCTTAATAATTTATATTGAAGTCGGTTGTACAAAATTTCAAATTATATCTTATCAAATTTCCTTAAACATGAAACAATGTGTTCCTTTATTAGGTAACGAAGCAATCCCTCCAACTCCCTCGGAGTCACTGGAAACAGCTTTATTCTGCCGCTGGGAGAGGTTGAACAAGGAATCGAAGGGTTCGCTCACATCGCACAGCTATAGCAGGCGGCAACTGCGCTACTTGTGCCGAGTGGCGAGAGAACTGATCAACTATAAGAAATTATTGGTTTATGTAAGTTCCTTGTCTCCTTACTCATATAATCGCATGTCCAAAGTTTTTTCTGCTTAGGGTTCCGTAGCAGAAAGGTAACTAACGGGACCCTATTACTAAGCCGCTGTCCGTCCGTCTCTCTGTCAGCGTGTTGTATCTCATGATCCGTAATCGGTAGACAGTTGAAATTTTCACAGAATGTGTCTATCTGTTGCCGCTATAATAAAAAATGAGAAAAAAAATTAAAGGAGGTTCCGTACCATCGTAATACAAGTTTCTAGTAAGAAACGTGTATTACGATGGTACGGAACCTTCATGCGCGAGCCCGACTCGCACTTGGCCGGTTATTTTGGTTGATATTCCCATTTAGGTGCGATATAAGAATATCGATTACCGCATATCATTGGGGTCCGTATCCGTGGATGATGGAAGAGGAGACCATCTACCTGATAACAACGAAAATAACAAAATATAATTAATAACTGTTTTTGCCATTGGCATAGACAAGCATTAGCCGTGCGGGATTCGATCCCGGCTTAAAAGCTGAAAATAATTTTAACTACAGGAGGACCAAAGCACCTTCCGAGCAAACCTCATCCAAGCTACCTCTGAACAGTTGGAGCCCATTGAAGATCTTATCCACATCCTCGCTATAGTGCTGGACCAAGCCCGGGATGCATACCTGAATAATTTCCAAGCTAAATCTGTCGGGGAGTTTGATAGAGAACTGACAGTTTACAGGTAAATATTTTTTGCTCCAGTAATCATTGAGTATCCTTAAAACGACAGGTGATTCTAGATGAAAGGACTCCTGTTCTGCTTCAGGAGTCTGGGTTGGTATTCCGAACGGAGGCGGGTGCCTTAATTTGAGAATTTAACGAAAGGCCGAGTGTATGCGCAAGCACAGGTGCACTCTCTATTCCCTCACTTTCATAGTCCGATGGGACGGTAAATTGACACGACCGGAGATCAGGCGCAGGACCAACGGCTTTACGTCCTTTCCGTACAAGGGGGTGAGACACCGCCAACTACCTGAATCTGGGCAGCTATTGAAAATTTCTTGATGTAAAAATTTAATAACTGATTTTTTTTGGCCCAACTCAGGATTCAACCCGGGACCTTATGATCTGCAGTCGCACTACTACAACCACTAGACCAACGAGGCAGTCACTAATAAATTAATAATATAAGAGTTTAAAAAAAACTTAACACGCATTGATCATGAGCTGATGATCCTGATAGTTATTTTATTTTTCCCTGGCGATCCTGATTAGGATACTAGGATAAAGTTATTAAATTATTGTATTGTCGTCGATCCTTGATACAAGTGTAAACTTTCAAGTCAATCGATCGTTTACAAGTTGGTGAAAATAACATTAAAAGATTTCGTTACATATATAGATACACGCGAAGCTAATAAAAACGTGTTAAAACATCATCATCATCACCAACATTTCATCATAACTCTCCATCATTAGTCATAAGTCTCACCCCGTAGATTACCACAAAGCTGAACTGAATAAAGGATATTTTACATAGTTGCCCCGCTTGGCAAGCGGGTTGGCAACCGAAAATTTTTATATTTAGTCATTATTAGGTAGACGCTGCTGCCCATCTCCCTATCTACGCTATCAATCTATCACGGGATGATATGGGGTAGTGGATATTCTTATACCGCCACCAGATGGTATAATTACCAGTAAATTCTTTCTGCGTGGTAGAGCCACACTGCAGTTATATTATAGATGTGGCACGAATGGGTCGGCTCGACCGGAAAGGGACCACGCCCTCTCTGAATCACAGCGTAAAATAGCAGCTTAATACAGCTGTGTTTCGCATAGTAAGTGAAGAGAACTGGATCCATTTTTACTGGAAACGAGGCATTCCATCTTAGTCCACAGGGGTGACAACGCATCTAATCGATGATGGATGTAGATTGACGATACATTTACTATCAGGTAGAGGCTCTTTTGTCACCATTATTATGTAATAATAAAAGTCATATTTATAGTTATTAAAACAGTAAGACCAATGTACAGTTCTCTTTTAAGATCAAAATAAATACAGAATATCATTATCATCATCACCATCATCATCATTACAGCCCTTCACTAGTCCACTGCTGAACATAGGCCTTCACCAAGGAATGTCACAAAGCTGAGTCCTGATTATAATGTACCGTGTAGTGGCGTTGTCACTTGTGAGGACAAAGATGGAATGCCTCTTTTTCAGTAAAAAGGGTCTCCGATTCTCTACACTAATCATACGAAACGCAGCAGTATTAAGCTGCTATTTTACGCTGGTATTTTGTGAGACTGTCGTCTACAATAAAATTCATATTTAAAGTTATTAAAACGGTAAGAACAATGTACGATTCTCTTTTAAGATCAAAAAAGTGGAACAAATTGAAGGACTACTATGATGCGTCATCTGCGTGCCTAATAGACGCTGTTCGAAGAGACCCAGAACTTAGGAGGGAAGATCTAAAAGACGAGACCAATTTGATGAAGAACGTGCTTCTGTGGCTTCATAAGGGAGCCAAAGAGGACAAGAAGTACCTGAGTCCAGTTCTCAAGCCATATCTGGATGGTCTTTTCAACGTCTCTATGGAGAATTCTTGGTTTTTGGAGGATTTCGATGCGAGCAGATGCGAAATGGAGTATGAAGGTCTAGGTGAATATTGTATGGGAGTCCATAATGGAGAGATTGAACCGTGCATGGGCCTGTTGGATGCTGCGAAGAAGTTCACCTGGGCAAAGGCCATGGTCGATTTCTTGGATAGATACCGCCATATTGGTGAGTATTGTTTGGTTATCTCAACAAAAGTAGACTGCTTTACTAATTAAGTTTGAAACATTGATGTCCAATTTAAGCTAATACTGTCAACTAATGTCCTCTATACCGAATTTTTTACCCTTTTAACTGGAAAAGAGGCATTCCATCTTAGTTCTCACGGGTGACAACGCATCTGAATTTTGATTCGCAAACGAGGATAGATGTAGATGTCTATGGGCCGCAGCGACCACTTACCATCAGGTGGACTGTGTGCACGTTTGTCACCTTATTCTATAAAAAAATACCGAATTTCGATCACAGATCACAGTCTAGCACAAAATCAGTAGTTGGATTTTTTTGTCAAGAAATTATCAGTAGTCCGGAGTCAGGAAATAGAAATTGGGCAGTGTTTCACCGCCATCTTTTTTATAGGATAAGGGTGACAAACGAATTCACTGTTCACCTGATGGTAAGTGAATACTGTGGTTCATAGACATCTACATCTATCCCCGATTAAGAAAGAAAATTTTCGTTGTCACCCCAGAGTTCTAAGATGGAATGCCTTCTTTCCAGTAAAAAGGGTCTCCGATTCTCTACACCCATCATACGAAACACAGCAGCATTAAAAAGCTATCTTACGCTGGTATTCTGTGACAGCATGGTCCTTCCCCGGTCGAGCAGACCCATACGTGCTACAAACATTATATAGCTGCAGCGCGGCTCTACCACATATAAAAGCAACGGCTTTACGATCTTTCCGAGTCCTGTGCCTGATCTCTCTCTGGCCGTATCGGATTACCGTGAATTCGGAATATGAGATTACAGGTGGCTAGTTTCCTTTGAGACTGGGCACCGTGAAATTCTTGAAATGAAATTCCTTCTAGAGGACATTATTGTTTAAAAGCCGGGGTCAGAGGTAACTGGTAAAAGTTGACAATTAGTTAAAAGATGAGAATGCGTAGATATAATGAGACAAACTTTTTTATTTGTGTATTTATATTTCATAATAGTGATTAGTTTTATATAGTGATTACTAGCATTTCTGGACTCACTGTCACTGCACCGTCCCGTGTCCAGAATCCTATGGCGTGACTTCGTCGGAGAAAATCAATAATATTTCAAAGAAACGACGGCTCCTTGGCGCAGTGATTTAGCATTGAGTTACGGAGCTGAGAGTCGTGGATTCGAATCTCAGATGGGACGAGTATTTGTATGGCCTACAAGTAATTGTTCCGCGTCTGGATGTTGGTTCTTGTACAATTTATGTATATAAACTGTATCCACGACACAGGAGAAAATCCTAGTGTCTTTAAAAAACCTTTTAGAGTTTCGTCTGGTGTTCCCCACTGGTGAAGGGTTCGCGGTCTCGTACGCAGTGAAGCTTCCTTCTCGTCGGGAACACAGCTCAGCTCGCATTCTCACCTTAAGCAGAAGGGACAAGGCCGAAGCCAAGATCAGGCTGGCAACGAGATGTGTGCTTGGGGCCTTCAATTCGGCTCTCGTCGGTGACAGAAGGTAAGTTGGTATATTATCCTCGGTCGGTTGGTAGATTCGTTGATCTTGGGTTCGAAACTTTACTTGACAACTGATCTCTGTATTTCTGCCTGCAGTCTCTTCTTACTTGAGAAGGAGGGGGTGAGAGAGATCGGATTAAAGCTTGATGATTAGATCTTGGTGTAAATTTACCTGTACCCGAGCAATCCGGGTTCGATTACCGTCGACACCAATGAAATTATAAATTGCAATTTTAAGTGCTGAATTACCACGTGCTTGGCGGCGAAGAAAAACATCGCGAGAAAACCTACATATCTGAGAAATTAAAAAAAAAATAACTACATCTCAGACATGTGAAGTCTGCCAACAAGCATTGGGGCAGCGCGGCGGACATTTCATTGCCCTAAAACCCTCTCAGAAATGATAGGAGGCCATTATCCTCTATTGGAACATAAATAGACTGTAACTTTATTAAAAATAACAGCATACGGCTGATGCGTTTTGTATGGTGAGTGTAGAGAACCGGAGGCCCTTTTTCCTGGAAAAGAAGCATTTAATGTTAGTGCTCACGGATGACAACGCACATGCATTTTGATTTGTAATCGAGGATAAATGTATGTAATGTAAAAATGTAATGCGACCATGGTTACAAAATCAAAATACAAAATAATTTCTGTTTACTCATTCTCTCGATGACTGTATGCGAAATAATTGCGAATCAAATGTATCGGAATCAACCAATGCAAGTCGCAACTTATAGGCGAGGACAGCCTGTGTACAGCGCTGAACGGGGCAGAACAGCGCTGTTTTGCCACGTTCAGCGCTAAACTACGGTGTTAGCGTGCGTATGATAGAAGCACACTTGTCCTCATTTTATACGTTTGCCGCGAAAGCTGAACGGATGGGTACGCATCTCCATTCTAGACTGTGTTTTCTATGGACAAAAGCTGAATTGAGCTGAATAAGTGTGGTTAGTTCCTTATGCTATAAAAATATGCCGTGTAGTGGCGGTGTAAGAATATCCATTTTAAATTTTATAGGTCAACTAATCTAATGTATTGACACCTTAATAATTTAGAAAGATTTTCATCGTGTCGTTGTCGACGGCCGCACACCTCATAAATAATTCAGTGCATGAAAATCTATTCCAAGGAGTTTTTAGATTATTCTTAATAAACTACTTTTTATGATTAAAAACTGGTAAAATGCAAAGAAAAATCTTTTTTATGTTGCGTCGTTAAGTATTTATGTTGTATCACGTTAGTATATTCTATTAAGGGCTTGAATATTTAAGATAAATATTTTTAATGGCTGCAGTAATTTCAGCCTGCAAATATGTCACTTGTTCAGGATCGTCCCAACTATTATATCAGGTTCTCGCAAAAGAATACCGATTCTTACTCGTACCAAGGAAATGTTAACAAGCAACTAAAACTGATAAACGTCCTTATTTCAATAGAGAAGATGGCTGGGTGCTACCATCTGTTTGCGATCGCATCTATACAAATTACAAATTAGAAATATGTAAATAAAATTGAAGTGTCTATTTATAATGTCAAAATAACTGCTTTTTACTAAGTATATACGGTACTTATAACAAAAACATGATTCTTAAAATTTTTGTCTGTCTGTCTATTTGTTCCGGCTAATCTCTGAAACGGCTGAACCGATTTTGACCGGACTTTCACTGGCAGATAGCTGATGTTATAAGAAGTAACTTAGGCTAAATAAAAGTTATTTTGGAAAAAGAATTAGGGTTCCGCGAAAAAAAATTTAAACCCATGAAATGCAATCGTAATAAATTACGCGCGGGCGAAGTCTCGGGGAACAGCTAGTAATTAATAAAATTAAATCCAAACTCAAGTATGCTACTGCAAGACTTTATTTGTAAGATACTGTAAGCTCGTTCTGCGTAGATCGGACCAAAAGAATGTATATTTAAAAGTTCAAGGTAGCCTTCGTTTCTACGACATCAAGACGTCAACAACTCTGTCCTCCCCGTGACTTTGGGTGCTGAAAAGTGCCCGAAACGTTGGGAATTAAAAAAGTTAAAATTAAACGCGATAAAATCCCCAAAATTACCTTAGTAATGATATCCAAAACGATTAGATATTATACAAACTCCATCATGTATTGTCATGGAGTCAACAAATTTAAAAATCTCTATATATAATCGTTGATGTGACTTTTAGTGGTTATAATTAATAGAATCAGGCGTTACTTTCCGGAAATCCATTATATAAAAGCTTTTAGAAAAATTTACTTCGCAAATATCCGCGTTATAAAATAAAATGATGTGTCTTATCTAGTATGAAGAGCACCACCCGCCCTCCCTCAATTGCGTGCACTATCCCCGTCACCACTAATCCCAGCACCGCTACTCCCAACACCACTACACTAGGCAAGACACACCACTGACGATAATACGACACGTGTTTTGCCTCTACACGAGGCATACTCAGGTGATATAGACTCTACGGTGGCTAACCGCTAAGTGAGCGGCGAGCCAAAACAAGTGCCTTTTATACAGACCGATGACGCAACCGCTCTCTACTTAAGGAGCGAGCGACTGCGCCATGCGAAAAAACATGCGACCAATCACGCAGCCGTTTGTAAAATTAAAAACAAACCGCCGCGCAACGCCCACCCTCCAACCACGCAACCAATCTCTGATCACCGTGAGGGTGACAAACGACCATATTGCGAGGCTCTCTATTATTAGAGAGCAGGCTTAAAGATATTTAAGAGAGGTGAGTTAGTAACATTTGTTTGTTCATTCAGCAATGCAACGGTACTATTATTACTTTTTAATATCTCTAACTCTTCCAGCACACACAGCCGCAGCCCTTTATTACACGTATGTAAGACTTTAAAGGAGTGGTCGTTGGCTAGGTTGTGTCCAGTGTCCAAAAGATGTTTAGCAAAATGGGATTTATCGGGATTGCAATTCCTGTACGTGGCTAAATGCTCTTTATAACGTGTCTCGAAATTGCGACCAGTTTGACCCACGTAAACGGCGTGGCATTCGTCACAAACAATTTTGTAAACACCTGACTTTTGACGAATATCCAACTTATCTTTATTATTACAGATATTTCTAAGAGAATTGTTTGTTTTGAACGCCACATAAACGCCGTTTTGTCGAAGAGTATTAGCTACTTTTTCAGATATGGGGCCTAAGTAGGTCAAACTGCTCACATATCGATGAACACTTTGAGGTTGAACCGCGTACAGAGAGTTGCGAACAACATGCTTTTGTTTCTTTTTAATTAAATTGTTAACGAGAACGGTTTTTCAAAAAATCTCATTAACAATTTAATTAAAAAGAAGTAGAGAGCGGTTGCGTCATCGGTCTGTATAAAAGGCACTTGTTTTGGCTCGCCACTCACTTAGCGGTTAGCCACCGTAGAGTCTATATCACCTGAGGATGCCTCGTGTAGAGGCGAAACACGTGTCGTATTATCGTCAGTGGTATGTCTAGCCTAGTGTAGTGGTGTTGAGAGTAGCGGTGCTGGGATTAGTGGTGACGGGGATAGTGCACGCAATTGAGAGAGGGCGGGAGGTGCTCTTCATACTAGGTAAGACACATCATTTTATTTTTATACATACATAAACACTCACGCCTGTCACCCAGAGGGGTAGGCAGAGACTACGGACTTCCATTTGGCGCGATACTGACACACCTCTCTCGCCTCTTTTACATCCATATATCTACGCATACACGCTCGTCGGTTAAGGGTACTCCTAATCTGGCCCATTTTTAATGTATCGCCGATTTGGTCGATAAACCTTCGTCTAGGGCGTCCCTTCCTGACCCTGCCGTTCACTTCTGCAATATAAATTTGCTTTGTCACTCTTTCCTCATTCATTCTTTCTAGATGACCAAACCACCGAAGCATTCCTTTCTTAATCCTTGTCACAACGTCATCTTGCAAACCATACTTTTGTCTTATCACACTATTTCTCACCCTGTCATTCAGATTCAGCCCTAGCATACTCCTTAAGGACCGCATTTCTACAGCATTTATTCTACTCTCATGCTTCTTCTGCCAGACCCAACTTTCACTACCATACATTAAAGTAGGGACTAACATAGCATTATGAATTGCCATACGTGCCTTAGTTGACACATTCTGACTCCTCATAATAGCGTGTAGAGCCCCATTCACTCTATTTCCTGTTGTATGTTCCTGTATCTCATTTTATTTTATAACGCTGATATTTGCGAAGTAAATTTTTCTAAAAGCTTTTATCTTAGTGGTTATGTAAATTCTGAACGACTTGACCGATCGAAGTCATATGTACATAATAAAATTCTGTTAAGACTACGTTGAGTTGACCCTTTTTACCCTTTTTATTGGAAACGAGGCATTTTATCTTAGTCCTCATGGGTGACAACGCGTCTGCATTTTGATTCTAAGTAGAGGATAGATGTAGCTGTCTATGGGTCACAGCATCCACTTACCATCAGAAAGACTGTGTGTTCGCTTGTCACCCTTATTCTATAAAAAAAAACTATAAACTTAAAAAAATCAATTTTTTTTTCATAGCCTAAATGGTAGACACATCGGACGTCATGAGAGCTCAGAAGAAATCCTTAGGAATGTCAAATCTGGAAATTTCTGGAGAAACAATACTAAGCCGGACATCATCCCGGTCAACTCCCACCAAGACGTATCATCTCTCGACACTATCCCCAGGGTTGTCAGAAGATCAAGAAGGAATAGACCAGCCACGTCCTATGGATTCCCAGAAATTACTATCACAGATCAATCGGATACGAAAACCTTAAGAAGAAAATACCATACTTTGAGGAGTCTAGTTTATACCGAACCAGTTGAAAATATTAAGGAGTTGAAGCGACGGCCGAGGTCCGCTGGGTCTACTGTGAAGAATAAGGACGCTATGAGTAGACCGAGTATTTTGGAAACACTAGATTTTATAAACAGTGTGAAGGATGCTTTATATGGTGAGTAATATACGTATTACAATTTTTTTTTATAAAAACGTTACCCCCACACTAGGATTTTCTCCTGTGTCGTGGAGGCAGTTTACAAACATAAATTGCACAAGGAGAAACGTCCAGACCCGGAACAATTATTTGTAGGCCATACAAATACTTGTTCCGTGCGTGATTCGAACCCGCGGCCCCCAGCGCAACAACTGATTGCTAAGCCAATGGGCCACGGAGCCGTCACATTATTCCAAACAGGCATTTCAAAGATATGTCCACACTCCTCCCGCTGTCGAGGCGAGCTGGTCCAAGCAGAGCTAATATTTTTCCACAGATGTTAAGATTCAATATTTTCGGACGCATTTAAACAGGTAATTGAATTTAGAAATAACATCCTTATTTATTCGATGTAAGAAAATCAAAATTCTGCTTATCGAACGTCAGGAGTCGTGATAGTTTAGTGGCTAAGCGATCACCGCCGACACCGATTAAATTGTTCATTGTAATTTTAAGTGCTGATGTACCACGTGCTCGGTGGTGAAGAAAAGCATCGCGAGGAAAACTGTATGTCGGAGACATTAAAAATATTTCGAAGGTATGTGAAGTCCACCTACACGTATTGGCGCAGCGCGGCGGACACTCCCTGGTCCTTAATCTCTTTCAGTAATTAGACGAGACCGGTACCTAGATGTGGGACGTACGAGTATGAAGGCTGTAACTTTGTTGAACTTTACTTATCATACTTTATTCTTTAGTCTATTACAGTTTATAAGTTCGAAAAAGAAACGTAAAGGGAATGATGAATTCTCTCATGCGGCTCACCTGCAGGGCTAGTATGGGTAGAAGACAATTTTATCCCCGGGCAAAGGAGAAAATGTTTATCCCCTTGCTTAGTTTCATCCACCCTTCGAACATGGGCACACCGGTGGATATAATATCCATAGTAGATAAAATGGGAGAGAGACTTGGACTTAGATAGATTTTTTGTATGAATATAAACTTAAACCCACGTCCAATGAACTAGGATAGAAGTGTCCCTTTCAAATGTTAAAAAAGCATAATTTTTTATTTTTAATTTGGCTCCATGCTACGGACGGGGGATATTATGTCTACTCGTTATGTCAAACGGGGATATACTTCTCCCCGTTGCCATGCTTTGCATAAGGACAAGATAAGTTTATCTGTTATCAGTGGATATAATCGGGGGATAAAATTTTTGTCCCCAACCCATGCTAGCCGTGCTGATGGAGAGTGCCGTCCGCCGCCCAAGAACAACAACATCATGGGAATTGCCGTCCTATTAAAAAGGAGTAAGGTCGTTTTTTGAAGGGCCCTAAGCTTATCAAAAGTTCACCGCTGAACATATGTTTAGGTAGCCTATGTTTTCACAGATTACCTCAAAGGATATTTGCCATAGTTGCCACGCATAGCGAGCTGGTTGGCAATCACAGTTTTTATCAACTTGTGTTATTATCAGGCAGATGCTGCTTCTGTTCATTAGTTTCCCTTTGTCGCCTTTTATGGCACCCATGTTATGATATGGGGTAGTGATTCTCTTATGGTGTTTCTACACGGTAATGATCATGCTTGGCAACGATGATATTAATAAATTAAAAATGTTTTGTTTTTTATAAACGTTCTACTTCTTTTCACTTAGTAGTAGGATTGGTTTTCTGACATGAGATCCATCTGGCTATTACCCTCATAACTGTTTCTGCCGTAAATTAGCAGTGCTTGCACTGTTGTGGAGTATAGAGAGACAGCATAAGTACAGGTTGTGTGTTATTCCATCTAAGTCCCCAGAGTTGATTGCATTTGTAGTTTCTGTCTCGTTGTCTTTGATGTTCGCCGCAGATGTCCGTGGACTATCCACTTACCATTGAATTGGACTGTGATTCGGTGTGTCACTTTAGTTTTATAAAAAAAACTAGCCGTTCCCCGCGACTTCACCTGCGTGGAATTTATTACGATTGGATTTTATGGGTTTTGATTTTTTTTGCGCGGAAGTCTAATTTTTTTTCTAAAATAAAAGTAGCCTAAGTTACTTCTTATAACATCAGCTATCTGCCAGTGAAAGTTTCGTCAAAATCGGTTCAGCCGTTTCGGAGATTAGCTGGAAGAAACAGACAAAATTTTTAAAAATTGTGTATTTGTCATAAGTACCGTATATACTTTCATATGCATTTGATAAAAGTTTTATACGTGGTAGAGCCATGCTGCAGCTATATTAGTAGTATAGTTGTAGCAGCAATGGGTCGGGTTGACCGGGGAAGGACCACGCTCTCACAGAATACCAGCGTAAAATAGCAGCTTAACACTGCTGTGTTTCGTATGGTGAGTGTAGAGAACCGGAGACCCTTTTTACTGGAAAAGGGGCATTCCATTTTAGTCCTCACGGGTGATAACGCATCTGCACTTTGATTTGCAAACGAGGATAAATGTGAATGTCTATGGGCCACAGCAACCACTTACCATCAGGTGGACTGTGTGCTCGTTTGTCACCCTATCCTATAAAAATAGTTGTTATTTTGACATTACAAACAGATACTTCAATTTTATTTATTTGTAATAATAATTTATTATCTGTACTCTGCTTTGTTTGAATCTGGCTGCAGGTGTCCATGGACTGCAGCAGCCATTTAGCATTGAATTGGATTGTAAGTTGGTTTGTTACTTGAGTTAGTATAAAAAACTGTTCGTAGTGGAAGAGTCGGGTACGTCTGACGCGGAAGATATGGCGTGGTCGTGGTGCGACGAGTGGGTGGCGGGGCGCGCGGCGCCGCTGGGCGTGCTGGCGGCGCGCGGCGGCGCGCTGCACCTGGCGCTGGCCGACCTGGTGCCGGCGCTGCTGCAGCGCGCGCGCTTCACGGTAACTTCTCCTGCTACCATCTGCCACTTGACAACTGCCGCATACCGTTACAGCATAAAGGCATAAAAGCGTTTATTTTATATTTTGTATATTAAATTTTTGTTTCATATACACTCATTCGCAAAATAAAACGGGCGGTTTTGATTTTTTTCTCGCCTAAAAAATACAATATGAAAAAGGTTTTAATAACTTGAGCATATTACTGGCCGGTTATAAAAGTGCAGTGGTGTTTAAAAAGTACGCTCCAAATTCAAATTTTAATACATTTTGTGGCGCGAAATCCTAAAGTTTAAATCGACTTTAAATAACTTTTAGCCCTCCTTGATATTTTAATGTGCTGTAATTTCTGTTAATCGGTCATGAAAATGATAAAATAAAGTGATAATAACCAGAGGGGTTGCAGCCAATGCCGTGGCTCAGAGGTAATGTGAGTCGTTCAACAGCTCAAAGGCCCTTGCAGCGCTATCAAGAGACTGGTTCGGTCAAGAGAAGGCCTGGTTCTGGAAAAAAGCCATGTACCGAACTATGGGATGAATTTTTCTGGTGTCACAAGCGTTGACAAATCACAAATTCATCAATTTTTATGGACGACAACACTCGCGGTCTCTATGCCACCAGTCTGATGATATAAAAGTGTATGTCCTAAAGGTCGGAATTCGTCGTTTGGATTGGCCACCAACCTAAATCCCATTGAGTAAGTCTGGGAAGTTCTGAAGCGACGAATAAGATACCTACGAGACGCGGTAGTGGATTTTCTTACACCGCCACACGCCACACCACTACACGGTACCATATGACAGCTGTTATGGATGACGACGTCCACTGAAAACACCTGAAATAAAGCCACTAAAAAGCAACGTTGTAGTCTGTAATGTAGCATTAAGCCTAGTGAAGTACGTATAACTACACGGCTAACATTTATAACCAATAATTTGTGTTTTGCACAAACACATTTAGTTGGATTTCGATTCTAAATGTGTTTGTATACCAAGTTTGTAACACAGCAATCGAGTCAACTACCGATCATAGCGTCAAATAATTCCATCAAAACATAGATCAGTCAGTAAGAGTGCCTTTGTTACTGTCTATACACTTCTACAACTATAGTATGTTCAATTTTTTTACGTGGTAAAGCCATGCTGCAGTTATATTAGTAATATAGTTGTACCAAGAATGGGTCGGCTCGACCGACGAAGGACCACGCTCTCACACAATACCAGCGTAAAATAGCAGTTCAACGTTGCTGTGTTTCGTATGGTGAGTGTAGAGAACCGGATACCCATTTTACTGGAAACGCGGCATTCCATCTTAGTCCTCACGTGTGACAACGCGTCTGCATTTTGATTCCTAATCGAAGATAGATGTAGATGTCTATGGGCTACAGAAACCACTTACCATCAGGTGGGCTGTGTGCTCGTTTGTCACCCGTTTCCTATATAAAAAAAAATAGAAAACATTAGGAAATTAATACAATTGTCGAAACCAATTAAAATAATTTTCGTCTCTTTTTTTTAACCGACTACAATAGACAGAAACAATATACAATCCCACTGTATTTTTATTTATATTTAAACAATGTATCCAAGATTAGTTTATTGATTTGGCGGATTTTATCCTTTTTCTCGAAACGTAGCTAGCTATAAGGTAACTGCGGGTAATAAGGCCTAGCTAAGGGAAAATCTAAAAAAAAAAAACCAGAAACATCTAATTTGGTCTACAGATTTTAATAAATATCATTAGTCTAGTACAGTTTCTATAAGTTATGAACAAATAATTGTAAGTAATTGTCCACAAAGAAAAACAAAATAAAACATTTCTAAAAACCTTGCTAGTAGGCCTTATTTACTATGGTAGGGTAATAAGGCCTACTGCTTTAACATACATACATACATATAATCACGCCTCTTTTTTCTTCCACTTGCTACGATCCTTACATACTTGTTTCGCTTCGTCCACTTTCATTATTCCCTCCATACATGCTCTACGGTTTAGGGTACTCTTGACATGGCCTCTTTTGAAGACGTTCCTGATTTGGTCTAGAAATGTCCGCCTAGGTCTAGCCCTTCCAACATTTTCATTCACACTCGCCTTATACACTTTTTTCGTCAATCGTTCTTCATTCATTCTCTCGACATGGCCAAACCATCTCAGCATACCTTTCTCAATTTTTGTCACTACATCTTCTTTCAGACCACAACGTTTCCTTATCTCACTATTTCTTATCCTGTCACTCAGTTTAACTCCTATCATACTTCTTAATGCTCTCATCTCAACTGCATTTATTCTGCTTTCATGTTTTTTCTGCCATACCCAACTTTCACTTCCGTACATACTCATGTATTTCTAGATAGCGCGTTCGTAGATCTGCTTTAACGAACTTAAATAATCAATTTATATGTAATATATTTAATTTTGTGATCAATAATCTCATAAGTGCAGCAATTAATATATAAAATAGTAAAAAATATATAAATTACCTCGCCTATCAGTACTTAAAGTCATTAGTATAACGATGAACAAACTGATAAACAAACTTACTCCTCGTGATTATCATCAGTGCGTCGGTTGTGTCTCGAGTTGAGTTGAGTTGAGAATTGGGTTTATTGTTGGGTTGAGTGCCCTCCCAATCAAATTTCTTTTGATATAGGCCAGTCTCAACGGAGACTAGCCCATCAGGATAGTTCAGAAGTATAGATTCAGAATGTATGCGCAAGCACAGGTGCACTATCTATTCCCTCACAATCAGCAAAAAAAGTTTGGACAGCTGAAACCAGGCCTTTTTATGATTACGACATTAGTTTAATAATAAAAGCGTACGATTTATTTGCATTTATAACATTTTAAAAGTGATATAAAATTCATAACAATACAAAGAAACTACACAAGAAAAAGGGGTATAATAAGGCCTAGACCTTAATAAACGCCGACCAAGTATTTAGGAAAAACCAAATTAAAAAAAATTTGACCACGATAAGTTACTCAAATCTTCAAGATCAACAAAACATTTATTCATAAAGATAAACATTACGATTTTAGATAGCTAAGTGTAATATTAGGTCTTACATATGAAATTAGCGTTTTGTCGTATTGATCACTTTGATCTGAAACATCTCTTTGGTTAAGAATTCCAAATTCAAATTTATAAATTCATTTAGCTGGTACTTTGAGTTTTGTAAACAGTCATTCATTTGTTTTTTCCTCATTATTTATTTCTTTGGCGTCGCTTATTACCGCACAATGGAAAACATGAAATATCGGTATATTTACGAGTACGAGTTCTACCGTGGCACCAGTGCTGCCGAAACAGCTCGAAGGATTAATGATGTGTGCGGCGCTGGTGTCGCAAAAGAAAGGATGGCACGTTTTTGGTTTCAACGTTTTCGTTCTGGAAATTTCGACCTTCAGAACCAACCCGGTGGGCGGTCTGAGACCAAAGTGGAAAATGAGGAATTAAAGGCTATTGTGGAAGCGGATCCATCACAAAGCACTTCAAAGATAACTGCAGGCTTCGGGGTAAGTGATAAAACTGTATTAATCCACTTGAAGCATATCGGGAAAGTAAAAAAACTTGAACGATGGGTACCTCACGAATTGAGTGAATCGAACTTGCAAACACGCGTTGACTGCTATGTTACTTTGCTCAACCGACACAACAATGAAGGGATTTTAAATCGAATCATTCATTACTTGTGATGAAAAGTGGATACTGTACAATAATCGGAAGCGCTCGTCGCAATGACTGAACCCTGGAGACCCAGCCAAATCCTGCCCTAAACGAAAATTGACTCAGAAAAAGTTACTTGTGAGTTTGGTGGACTAGCGCCGGTGTCATTCACTACAGCTTTCTAAAATCTGGCCAAACGATTACGGCAGATATCTATTGTCAGCAACTGCAAACCATGAAGGAAGAACTAGCTGCTAAGCAACCGAGATTGGTCAATCGCTCTAGGCCACTGCTGCTTCTTGACAACGCCACGACATCGCCAAGACCACATACTGCACAACAAACAACCACTAAGTTTAATGAGCTACAATTGGAATGTCTGTGACATCCACCGTACTCCCCGGACCTTGCTCCAACAGATTACATTTTTTTTCGGAACTTGGACTACTTCTTACAAGGAAACAATTCAACTCCGATGCGGCAGTCCAAACCGCCTTCAAAGAGTTAATTGATTCTCGCCCCCATGGTTTTTTTAGTAAAGGGATCAGTGAATTACCTACGAGATGGCAAAAGTGCATAGATAACAACTGTGCATACTTTGATTAATTAAATATCTTTTACAAAAAAAAATTACTTTATATTCCTCCCGTACAATTTCACCTAACATTACAAAACATACCTACGATTTATTTGGACTGATTTTTAATATTGGTGCAGTGTGGTAGTATCTTATGATAGATAATGCAACTCTGGTTGCAGGACGCGGGGTAGCGCGTATCTGCATACTTGTCGAGACATTGTCATGCAATAGGAATCTGTTTTTATCTCCTTAAGCGAGTGCGGTTATTATAAATACGATTTTTGTCACTTAGGTGTTATTAGCCGACAGGCCTTATTACCCGCAGGCACCTTACATGAAACTTTAAAATTCACCAAGTATTTCAAAAATCAATGGATATTAAAAATCTTATGGATTGAAATAATAGAAACTGGTTAAATATATTATTTAATAGTTAGCACGCTCTTTACATAGAAGTAACAAAATGGAAGAGAGAAAAAAATAGAGTATCGTGTAGCTAAGAAACATAAAAACAATTTTTAATCTTTTATGTCTTTGACACCCCCAGATTTGTAATCATTCTTCTCTATCCCACTTTCATACTTTCTAAAGTTCTCGAATGCATTATCCATAGACAACACTCTCATTTCTTATCTCCTAACTTCTTTCTTTTTGTATATCAGTCGGGCTTTCGTACTGGTCACAGCAAGTAACCGAAGAAATCTTGGAAGAAATGATAATATCGCTTCTAAGCACAGACTATACCAGGTCTGTTTCCAAGTCAATTTCATTTGACACATAATTGAATACATAAGTTCTCGTTATAAAAAAAATAACTTTGAAGAAAGAAAAGTTAAAACTGAATGTGCTATAGAAGAACGAAAGCTTCGAAAAAATGACTTCGGAAGTTTTTTTGTGGGAATTATATTATTATTTTAGTTTTTGAAATCTCTTTTTATTTTTTAATGTTAAGTTTTTTACCCCTCTGAGTACAAAGGACATTACACAACAAAGGATATCACAAATTTAAGGCAACATTTATAATATAGTTTTTTTCTTTTTTATTTTAAAACGTTAACCCCCAACTAGGATTTTCTCCTATATCATGGAGGCAGTTTACAAACATAAATTGTACAAGGACATAATCCAGACCCGGAACAATTATTTGTCGGCCATACAAATACTTTTTACGTGCGGGATTCGAACCCGCGGCCCCCAGTGCGGCAACTCTTTGCTAAGCCACTGCACCACGGAGCCGTAATATCGTTTAAATAGTTAAATTGAAATATCCATCCCTTATTTTTCCACCTTCAGTTGTGAGCCATCAAGTATAACCTATATAAAATAAAATAAAGTATAATTAAACTCGGTTCACAATAAAAAAAGATATCGGGTAACATAAAATATTGTATAATGAGAAGAAAACGTTTACTCGAATTGCGTACCTTCTTCTTTTTGAAAGTCGGTTAAAAAGGTGCTATAAAGCTATTGCATTGGTTTTAGATACTACAAGAACTGTGCTCGTTTCTCGGTGAGTCCAGCGAAGGTGCACTGTTCGCTCTCCACCGACTTGCACGAGCGGCTCGTTCTAGAAGTAGCGAGAGGGCTACCAAGTAAGTTCCAAAAAATTATTTCAACATTTATTTTGTTTTGCTAAAAAAATAGATGACCTGAGATTTTAATATGAGTTTTACATCGCCTTAGTTGACACGCTTGGTAAGCTGGCTGGTTTTAATTTTTAGATGTTATTAGGGAGACGCTGCTGCCCACTTCCACGTTTTCTAGCCCCCCGCCATCCCCCAGTTTTCTTTTTTATAGGATAGGGTGACAAATGAGCACACAGTCCACCTGATGGTGAGTGATTGCTGCGGTCCATAGACATCTACATCTATCCTCATTTGCGAATTAAAATGCAGATGCGTTGTCACCCATGAGGACCAAGATGGAATGCTTCTTTTCCAGTAAAATGGGTCTCCGGTTCTCTACATTAACCATACGAAACACAGCAGTGTCTAGCTGCTATTTTACGCTGGTATTCTGTGAGAGCGTGGTCCTTCCCTGGTCGAGCCGACCCATTCGTGCTACTACTATAACAGTAATATAGCTGCAGCATGGCTCTACCGCGTAAATAACAGTTCAGTGGTAGAATGTTCGCCTGTCTAATGGATTATCACAAAGTAGGTACTAACGTATCCTAGATGGTATAGGTACCGACTTCTATACTACTACAATATACAGAACTAAGATAAAATAATTCGCAACCTATTATTATATCTTAATTTCTTTTTCTTTGGTCGGGGCTGTCTAAATTCTCCATAAATCTTTAGAAATGAGAGACATGTGCCCAGCTGTAAGAAGTAGACGTGCTGCAAAATTACATCTATATTTTGTTAATAAGATATAGCCTGGTGTTAAGTGAATGCTGTGGCCCATAGACATCTACATGTAATTAAGAATCATAATGCAGATATGTTGCCACCACTGAGGACTAACGTGGAATACCCCGTTTCCAGTAAAAAAGGGTCTCCAGTTCTTTATACTCACCATATGAAACGCAATAGCATTAAGCTGCTATTTTACGCTGGTGTTCTGTGAGAGTATGGTTCTTCCTCGGTCGAGCTGACCCATTCGTACAACCATATTATAGCTGCAGCGTGGTTCTACCATTAATAAAATTACGTAATAAAATCACGATTTAAATTATACAAGTAATCCGCCCTGATTATATAAACAATAATTACTAATAATGTCAACATTTATAAATATTTCTGTGTTGCCCCCTATTAATAATTTACAAAAGGGTCGACGCGAACCAAGATTACAGCGATATCATAAATGAGGTACATATACTGACTGACACATCGCTCGGACAGGTAGCACTGTTTATTCCGGCTCCCGCACAAACAGGGCACCCGAGAGCAAAAACACGTGTTCATGATAATTTATTATTGTATTTTTTTTGTACTAACAAGCAGAAGTGTCGAGGGATTTGTATTTATTACATTTATTTTAAGGATTTCCATGTTGGAGACAGAAAATGTAACAAACGTTTACATGAAAACACATTTTATACGTGATATAATACGCCATAATATGGTTGTACAAATGGGTCGGCTTAATGTGTGCTTTCGTATGGTGAGTCTAGAGCACCGGAGAACCTTTTTAATGGAAACGAAGCATCCCAACGCATGTTTATACGTGATAGAGCCATACTGCAGCTATATTAGTAGAATAGTTGTAGCACGAATGGGTCGGCTCGGCCGGGGAAGGACCACGCTCTCACAAAATACCAGCCTAAAATAGCATCATAACACTGTTGTGTTTCCTATGGTGAGTGTAGAGAATCGGAGCCCCTTTTTACTGGAAAAAAGGTCTTCCATTTTAGTCCTCACGGGTGAAAACGCGCATTTTAATTCGCAAACGAGGATAGATGTAGATGTCTATGCGCCACAGCATCCATTTACCATCAGGTGGACTGTGTGCTCATTTGTCACCAAATCTTATAAAAAAAATGATACTTAATCGAGGATAGATATAGATGTCTATGGGCCACAGCATCCACTTACCATCAGGTGGACTGTGTGCTCATTTGTCACCCTATCATATAAAAAAAAATTGATACTTAATCGAGGATAGATGTAGATGTCTATGGGCCACAGCATCCACTTACCATCAGGTGGACTGTGTGCTCATTTGTCACCCTATCTTATAAAAAAAAATTGATACTTAATCGAGGATAGATGTAGATGTCTATGGGCCACAGCATCCACTTACCATCAGGTGGACTGTGTGCTCATTTGTCACCCTATCTTATAAAAAAAAATTGATACTTAATCGAGGATAGATGTAGATGTCTATGGGCCACAGCATCCACTTACCATCAGGTGGACTGTGTGCTCATTTGTCACCTTATCTTATAAAAAAAAATTGATACTTAATCGAGGATAGATGTAGATGTCTATGGGCCACAGCATCCACTTACCATCAGGTGGACTGTGTGCTCATTTGTCACCTTATCTTATAAAAAAAATTGATACTTAATCGAGGATAGATGTAGATGTCTATGGGCCACAGCATCCACTTACCATCAGGTGGACTGTGTGCTCATTTGTCACCTTATCTTATAAAAAAAATTGATACTTAATCGAGGATAGATGTAGATGTCTATGGGCCACAGCATCTACTTACGGCCACAGCAATTACCATCAGGAGTACTGTGTGATCGTTGTCATCCTTATTCTATAAAAATATGAAAAAATACGATCTATTCATGCTGTAAGTATAATAAAGCTGCAGCGTGACTCTAACACGTGTAATTATATATGGAGTCGTTCACATTTGTGCCAAAACGATATTTTGTTCGCTCCAAGAAATCCTATTGGATGGTTTATAACACCACCATAGTAGAAATACTATGGTGGTGGCGAAATTCATCCCCGGTTGAGAGCACTCATCCGTGCTCTTACTATAAGGATCATAATACAGCTGCAGCGTGGATTTACCAAGAATTTGTAAGAGATCTGTACACATAAATAAAATTGAAGTGTCTGTTTGTAATGTCAAAATAACATCTTTTTAGCTAAATGTATATGAAAGTATATACGGTACTTAAACAAAAAACAATTTTAAACATTTTTGTCTGTCTGTCTGTTTGATCCGGCTAATCTCCAAAATGGCTGGACCGATTTTGACGGGACTTTCACTGGCAGATAGCTGATGGTATAAGGAGTAACCTAAGTTAATTTTATTTTAGAAAAACAATTAGGGTACCCCGCAGAAAATCAAGATCCATGAAATCCAGCCGTAATACTAACACGTAAAACCACGCGGACGAAAGTAAATAATAAATATTAATTAGCTTTGATATTTTCTTAAATGCAGTTCTTGGAAGCTACCGGAAGCTTCTGTGATAGAGAAGGAAGCGCCCCAGAAGTACAAATCCCGGCCTCTCGACTATGTGTCTGGAGATGAGGCGCCCCAGCCTCCACCCTTGCCTAGGCATGCGAGCAAAAGTAAACAGGTTAGTATATTTTCTGCCACCAGCTAAAATCTGAAGCTAAAGTCCAGAAATGTTGAGTCGATTTACAGAAGTAAGAGTTTGATATCTACCCAAACCGCCTCTTATCTTTCTAGCAAAGGCCTGTATTTACTAAGTAAGTGACCATGAACACCTGCAACACCAAGGGAATTGCAGGTGTATTGCCGGCCTTTTACAAAGGAGTAAGCTTTTTTCTTGAAGGCCCCTAAATCGAATGCTCGATCGCTTCCAAGCTGTTTTAAAATAAATGCTGTAAAAAGTTTTTACAACCTTTCTTATTATATAATTTACTTTAAAAAATGTCTCGCTGGGTTCTTTGCTGGTTCTTCCTAGGATAGAGTTTTTTTACCAAACCATTGAATTAAAAACACATACACTAAATTGAATGAAAAAAAACATTCCATTCTAATCTTAGAGAGTCCTTACTTACTTCTTAATTTTGTTATACTGTTTTTAATATATGTGTCAACAAATGTTAAAGCTTAATGATACTCGTGGCCTGTTGTAACCAATAAATGTCATTTTCTTTCTAGTAGGAAACCATAAGAGTCTTCAGGCATTTCCTTTAGTCATCTCTTACGACACCCGCGGGACGAAATGGAGTGACAAATTCTCTTACGTCATCATCACCCGGCAATATAATAAAAAAATGGCTAACGCCCATATACTCAAACGCTACTTAATTTTAAGATGTCGTTTAGTCTCGTGGTGTCTCTATCACTTTAAGTTAAAGTGACTGTGACAGCACGAGACTTACGACATCTCAAAATTGAGTAGCGTAGCAAATACTCAAATTTGGCAATAATTGCTCATCATCTGACTCGAAATTATATTCACTTTGGGATCGAAATTCGTATTCTACCGACTGCGCTATGTCATATTTTTAGAAAGCCGTAATGGCACCTCTATTTCCTTATTTTAATTTATTTTATTTTATTATTTATTTATTGTATAACTTCTATTTAACTCGACAAAAACAGATGTGTGTTATATTTAACGTGTGTATCTGTGTCTGTCTTATTTTATATTCTACAAAGCCAGCGCTTATCTACAATCCCCCCTACAAAACCCATCAGGTGGGTAAGTGGTGATGTAGCTTAAGATGGTGAAGCGCACTGACTTAACAAAAGACTATTCACTCTTGCCTTGAAGACACCTACACTGTAGTCGGATGAAAAGACAGATGCCGGCAACTTATTTCCACTCCTTTGCTGTACGCATGATGAACGACGTAGCGAACAGTTTGGTTCGAATTGGTTCGGAATGGTCAACAACGAAAGGGTGGAGACTTGCCGAACGTCTGGTTGCCCAATGGTGGAATGGAGAGGGAGGAATTACATTATGCAATTCCTGCGCACACTATCCAAAATACATCCTGTAGAAAATCGAAAGACTGGCTACTATGCGTCTGTGTTCGGGGCTGGTAAGATTGGTTTTAACCAAGTTCGGGTCACCAATAAGCCTCTTAGTATGCCTTTCCGTTGAGTCCAAAGCTGCTAGGTGACATTTTTCAGCACCAACCCATATAAGGCAGCAATACTCCATGCATGACCGGACTTGCGCTTTATATAAAGTAAGCAGCTGTCCCGGCGTGAAGTATCGCCGCACCTTTGCAAGGACTCCCAGCTTCTTTGCAGCTGCTTTGGACTCAATGAACCGCCCGAAGTTCACATTTGAGGATATCTCAAACCCTAACAACTGAAAGCGGTCGGTACATTCCAGTGATATATTTCGGAAAGAAGAAGCCTAGATGAGCTGGCTCCTTTTTGCAGTGAAGAGACACGCTTGTGTTTTGGAGGCCTTGAATTTCACAAGATTGACATCGTCCCATTCGGAGACTGCCTGTAGTGTGAGATTCACACGCTCTACCATGGCTTCTCTTTCGGACTGGATTTGATCCCGACAGGCCCTAGGACTTGGATGGTATCTCTCCACAACTATGCTATCGTCTGCATACCTATAGATACCGGGCATAAGTAGATCGTTAATATGCAGCAGGAAGAGAGTAGTGAAGAGAACGGACACCTGAGGAACACTGGCGTTAATCGCCATAGGATCGGATGAGCAGCCATCGACGACGATCCGGAGAGACCGTTCACTCACAAGTTCACTCAAAGTCTTTTACCCATTCAATCAGACCAGGGGATAAGCCGTACGCTGGAAGCTTACCCAGAAAGCTAGTGTGCCAAATTCACACAGAGCAATTGCCTGCTCACTGTTTTCGAGTACCTCGCCCCATACGTGTGCGGTATACGCTAGAAGGTCCCCAGCTGACCAATCTTGGCGAAACCCATATTGCCGGTCACTAAGGAGGTCATTCTGTTCTAGGTATGTCATTAAGTGGGTGTTCAACATACGCTCCATAATCTTGCAGAGTATGGAGGTAATTGAGATTGGCCGATAATTGGCAGGGTCGGCACGGCTGCCTTTTTAGGAACAGGCTGCACGTTGGCAATCTTCCAGGATTTTGGCACTATTCTAGTCCTAAATGAGAGGCGGAACAAGCGTGTCAGCACAGGAGAGAACTCAGGGGCACAAGCCTTTAGAACTATAGCTGGTATACCGACATAGAGGCCCCGCAGTGAGTTAATTTAGGTGGAATATTGTTGCCACTGTCCAGACATGAATTGTAGGTAAAGAGAGATGCGAACAACTTCGTTTTCTTTTTAGCCGTATGCGCCAGTGTCCGGTTTCACCAGCGGAGGCAGTGTAGGCCGATAGAAGTTTGTTTCGACCGCTTTGGCGAGAGACTAGAAAGCTCTAGTGCTGGATGTTCTGTCAGAGAATTTTGCGCCAATATGCTTAATTCAATCGAGACTAGCTTTCCGTAATGCTTTTTGTAGGACTTGGCGGCCTGATTGAAAGTTCTCTTCTTGGAGCTAATATCCGGAGCTTTGCAGTTTCGAGCGTCAATCCAGGATAAGTACGCTGAATGCTTGTGCTTTTCAGCTTGGACGCATTTAGCGTTAAACCATGGGTGATCTTTGGTACCGGTGGGAGCATCAGAGAAGGAGATAAAATATTCCGTAGCTTGACGCAACACATTTGTTATCGGAACCGCACAGCTCAACAGACCTCCCGCCAAGGATAAGATGCAAAAAAGTATCACATCTCATGCCAATCAGCTGACTTATACCGTCATATTCGTCGAACACCATGGGACTCGTGATCAGGTGGAGAATATGACGATACAGATTTCACCAGACAGTGGTCACATGTACCCATATAGGAGGTAATATGTACTTCATACCTGTCTGGTTTGGTAGTCAGCAGAAGGTCAAAGAAATTTGCTGTGTGACCGTTTACATCGGGTATCCTAGTCGCTTTCTTTACCAACTGAGAAAGACCTAGCGTCAAAGCAAACTTCCTCGCTTCTTTTCCAGCATGGTCGGTATTCTGGTGTGGGAACAGCCAGTCTTGGTGACAAGCGTTAAAGTCCCCCAGAAAGACCAATTGTGCAGTAGGATACCGATTTAGGGCCACGTCAGCAGCCTCACTAAGGTGGTCAAATAATAGTGTTGTCTCCTGGTCACCGCTGTGCGATCGAAAGACACAGGCATAAAGGATTTTTTCAATACCTGTATCTACCATTACCCAGATTGTCAAAAAAGTGGGTTCTTCAAGGTGACAGACACGCTGGAAGCAAATGTCATTGCAGACGTACACACAGACTCCGGCACGTTGATAGAATTTGTACTTCAAGCAGAATCCAGGATAGTCAAGATACGTCGCATTCAATGGACATCCAATTTGCGTCTCCCTCAAGAAAAGTAGGTGCGACTTCTCAGTCTCAAGATGGTGATGAACTGCGCTGAGATTATAGTGCAATCCTCGAATATTAGTGAGATGCACTTTTTTTTTGCAACCGCTTTTTAGCACTAATTTTCTTTTTAAGATACATATTAGAAATGAGAATGGGTAATGGCAGTTGAAGGAGGCGTTGCTTTAGCAACCAAACGATATTATCAGAGTTACTGTGCCCATGGGAACTTGATCTGGAGACTACGAGGACGCCCGAGCTATGCCCGACGCTGCAGATATATTGTGGTTGTATCACGAATGGGTCGGCTCGACCGGGGTAGGACCACACTCTCACAGAATACCAGCGTAAAATAGTGGCTTCACTCTTTTGTGTTTCGTATGGTGAGTGTAAAGAACCGGAGACTCTTTTTACTGGAAACGAGGCAATACATCTTAGTTTTCAGGGGTGACAACGTATCTGTATTTGGATTCTTAATTGAGGATAAATGTAGATGTATATGGGCCACAGCATCTACTTACCATCAGGTGGGCTGTGTGCTCGTTTGTCACCCTATACTATAAAAAAACACTCACAAGTTGTGTGTACACTCGGGCATTATATCCAGTCCCACGCAGATGGCTAGTATTAGTTCAGACTGTCCGCCGTGACCGAAATTCACTCTGGGGGACATTGTATTATTATTATTATTTTATTATGTTCCAGATAACAAAACTGTATCCCGATTACGTGCCATCAAAACGCTTGCAAGAACTCGAACACGACTTAAATAAATTAGAACATGCCAAAACACGTTTAACTTTGGACCAAAATTTAAACTATCCATTAAATAATTGCACCGGCATCATCAATCCAATATACGACATCAAAATGCCTAAGGACAAATTCGCAGTTAAGAGAACTAAATCATTGGGCAGAACGTACAGTTCTAGGCATTTAGGTTTAGAGATAACCAGGTATAACCTAACATTGGGTCCTAAAGCCGGGAAGAAGACTAACGACGTGGTCACCGCTATGAACGGTACAACTGGGGAGACTGGATTAGATTTTAAAAGCAATTTCTTCCATAGATATGCCTCTGATAATGTGGTTGGGGATTCGTATAAAATTAGCCGGGTTACTGTGGATTGAGATAATGCTAAGTAAACAGGATTTTAAACAGCTTTTTGGAGAATCCGAATGTGAGAGGATTTTTTGATAGTAAATGGCTATTGCAGCCCGTGGACACCTGTAACCGACTTCAAACATAGAGGGCTACAGATGTGTTGTCAAACCTGAGTAGTTCTCAGATGGAATGCCTCACACCTGTACTATACTGTCTTTCTAAACCCTTTAGATGGGAAGACAGTAGTGCGTCCTCGTTAGTGGCAGAAATAGGTAAGACCAGTACCCAGACTGGACTAATAGGCAAAAAAGGAATTCCAGAACCTAATAAAATTATTCTCGTAGTTCTCAATTCGACAGTTTCTTTGTATACAATATGTAACAAAAACCCTGTGGTTGCCGTTAAGTGCGTTATCAGAAGTAGTACCCAGACGTATGGAAACAATAAATTTACTTCAAAACTCGACGATAAAAATAAATTAATTTGGTGGGTACTTGTGTACGACTACGTATAAGTATAATTGTCATAGTTAAGAAATAAATCAGTGTGTTACTTGCAAGCAGTAGTTTCACTCGTGCCCCCTATAACGCATACTTACCATAATTAACATAACATTTTATTTGCAAATTGTATGTGATTTTATTACCTCTGCATTAGCCGGGAACTTAACGGGAACGACAGGGAGAAAGAGCAAGTAAGAGTGTTGTTAAAGATCCTGCTTCATCGACGCGCGTGTTCGTTTTTGTTACATATTGTATGTATATGTTACGCGTTATATTTGCAATTGTGAACTGATTGTTATGATTACTTTTTTTGAATGCGTAGATATTATTAAATATGGCTCATATTATACTTCAAGAGTAGTCCTATATAAATTTAAAGAAAAAAATCCACTCGTAAGGGTGAAAAAAATGCGAATTAAGTTTTAAATATAACTGTGTAGCCACATTTTAGTTGTCACCTTGGGATTGTGATGTTCCTTATTCTTCCAATTTAGAGAGAAATAAATAATAAAAAGTTTTAAATAATGTCCTCATAATTTATTAACTTTTGTAGTTAGGACTTTAATTTTATCATTTTACTATGATTTAATAATGACTAAAGTTAGTATTCAAATTATTTTATCTACCAACTTCAAAAAGGAGACGGTACTCAATCCGATTTTTTTTAAATTGTATAATAAAAAAAACTCATAACTCATAAAACACTCTAAACTCATAACTTTTTTCTGGGTGAATCGATTTCGATGATTCTTTTTTTATTTGTAAGCTGGTGCTTCTCATGTGGTCCCATATAAATTTGATCAAGGTTTGACCAATAACTTTTGAGTTATTCTTAATAATTTATATTGAAGTCGGTTGTACAACATTTTTAATTTTTAATTACTTTTTTAAGTTTTTTGCAGTAAAAGTAAAGTAAAATAAAGTTACAGCATATATAAATCCCACTGAAGGGCACATACCTCCTCTCACTTCTGAGAAAGGGCAAGGAAATGTCCGCTGCCCTGCCTCATTGCGTGTTGGCGAATTTCACGTGTCTATGAAATATATTTTGCAGTAGGTTTTTATTTATTAAGTTTAAATTCAAACATAATGTTCAGTTCACCGTAGAACCAAGTACATTACGTTGCAATTTGACGTAATATTAGGTACGTACCTATTTTCAGTAGGACATTATAATATTCCTCGACAAACGTTCCGTTCAGAATTCATATTGCGTAAGCAACTGAACCACAAGTACTCAAATAATTTTATCATAATATCAATGTTTATTTTTTAAATCATCAATTTCCCAAGTGTTCTAAATTTAAACAAATTTATAGTTAATCTATCATTTACATATAATATTATCACAACCTGTGGTCGTTGTAAACCTTTTATGGTATTCCTGTGGCCTTTTATGGTATGGTAGCCTTAGTCTTATTATGGAATTACCACTTCAAATGTTTGCGTACATTTATGTCTATGACGGCATGTGCACCATTGCACGTGCGGCGGCGTTGGTGTAGCTAGACAGAATTCCTGTAAATAACACGTGCTCCGCACACCTACACCATTGCACCTGCGGTGGCGCTCGTTTAGCTTGTATAAAACGGACGGAGCTGCCGCCGTTAGGACAGTCTTGGCTCTGACGTGGAACGGTGCGCTTGTCGTATTCCGTTACTAGTTTATCCTCGACTCGTTGGATAATTAATTCGTATAAACGAATTAATTATTATTCCTAACTACAAAATCAGTCTCTGTACTTGTTCGCGCAAAACACTTTCAAGGATTGACGCGAGAGGGCGCTCGGCGCGGTGCATTCATACCGGTTTGACTTTCGGTCGTGCGAAAAACGCCCAAGGGCAGTCAGTCGTCTTTAATCGGTGCTGACGTGAGCACGCGGTCCATTCTGTTGGGGAACTCGGAATAATTAGGTGCGGCCCGTAAATATACGGTCTAGGATTTGTGACGCGCATTCCTACTGGAGAGCTTCCCGGGACTTATTGTGTCTGATTCAGAACCTGCATAAGTGCATTCGGCAATATTAGATAGTGCGGCCTCTGATATTCTAGAATTAACTATTGCTACGCGAAACGGTAGTGACCTTTGACCCTTTAAACTCCGTGTGCGTTAGTGCGGTAACCATTATACCCAGCGATAGTTAGTGGCTTCTGTAAGTTAGTAAATCGTACGATAGAGTTAATTGACTGTCATCGTGAAGAAAGAGGAAAGTGACTGTGGATGCCTCGGAGGGCCCCCCTCAAGTTGGAGCGGTGTCGACGCTCGGGCTGCTACCGACGGCCAAGGTCTAGGTTCAATCACCATCAGTCACACCCAGATACACATCACATCACTTATTTCCCTTTCACTACACAACCACATGTGACCTGACCGACTCCGGAGGGACCAGTCGCCTTGGATATAGGTAAGTAAGCTTCGCCTAATTCCTCTGCCGGTTGACTGGCCGTAGTATAGAACGCTCCCCCATATATTTAGTGTAATTAGAGAGATTCCACGTGGCCACGATTAAGGCCCGACCTACGTCTGCTCGGGAGGTCTTCAGTTCATGGGCCCCTGGGGATCTGATCCTTTAAGGGAGCAGCCGTAGGCCGTAACAAACTGGTAGCAGAGCGTGGTTCCGGGTTCGATTCCCGGTCGATCCCGACCATAGTGTTTGATAAACACAAACTCTGGTGGCAGGGAGCGTTGGTTTGATTGGTTTAATTTGTATCTACAATCACGCCCGTCCGTAATACGTAAAAATATTTTTTGTACGTAATAATAGAATTATTTCCCTAAGTTGTTTGTTGCTTGCCTTTTTTTTGGTTAGTAGGTAGATTTGAAAAGCCGCGCCCTAGGTTGCGCAAGCGGGAGTTTTCTAGAGATATACGTCATGTAGGTAGATGGTTATTTTTACGTAATCGGTTAATTATCGTTGTCGGATAGTTGTAGTGGATTACTTATCGAAGGGTCGATTTCCGAGCTAGGCATTTTTTGTTGATCGACCGTGATGTGTATCTTCGTTTATACTGTAAGTTGTATTTGAACTAAAGAGTAGTAATTGTATTTGCGCCATTTGAATTTAACTTGATTTGATCGCACTAGTATTTGTTATTTGTTAATTTGATTTGTGCCTTTTCTTTTGTGCTAACTTGTATTTGGTTGATACGTAGTAATTCGTATTTGTGTAATTTCTATTCAACGCGATTTGATAGGAACTGCATTTATTAACTGTTAATTTTTGTTGTATTTTTTGTTTGTTATCTTTGTAGTCTGTGCTCAAGCCGCGTCGTAATTTTGCATTTAATAGTGATGACATCGCCCAAGCTACTGATCCGTTGTTTGCGGACTGAGCTACGCTGGGCCACAAGCGCCCATGCTTTGATAGGTCGACCGGATAGGGTCCATAACTTGATGAAGCGGTTCGAGCAGGTGGATGCTCGAAGGGCCGCAGTGGAGGAGGCTTACGCTGAGCTCGAGGATTCGGATGTGGAGAAGGGAGTCCTGGACTCCTGCTTCGCGGACTATGAGCGGTTCTTGTGGCTCACGGACGAGTTGATCGAGGCTGAAGGCAGGTATGCCGAGGAGGCGCGTGAAGCTCGGATGAGTGACCTGTCCGAGTCCTCTCTGAATCAGCTTCAGCCGGAGCTGTTGGGATGACTCCCAACTCTGGACCTGCCAAAGTTCTCCGGGGTCCTTTCCGAATGGCTGACCTTCGTTGGTCTTTTCGACAGCCTAGTGGACGCCCGGAGTGACTTGACCCCGAGCCAAAAGATGGTGTACCTCCTGGCCTCACTGGAGGGGGAGGCCCTGGGCGTCGTCGGCCACATAAGATTGTCGGACGACGCCTACCAGACTGCTCGGGACCTCCTAGCCAGAAGATACGCCAACGTCCGGCGAATTGCGGACGAACATGTTAAGCAGCTTCTAAGCCTCCCGCTGCTTAGTGACCGGGCCAGACTGCGTCCGGACCTGTTGGATCCAGTCTTGGTGGCCTGTAATACGTTGAGGCGGCTGGGTTTACCAGTGGGCGAATGGGCTTTTTTGTTGCTCCGCATCGTGCTGTCCCGTCTACCTCTCGACCTTCGAATCCATTTTGAGGAGAGGTACGGCGGGGACGAGGCCTCCTATATTCCGCCCTTCTATGACCTGCTGCGGTTTTTGGAGGAGCAGTGCCGGCAGATAGAGAGCGCGGCGGGCACCGTTGACGACTTACGAGCCGTGCCCAGTGAGAGGCTGAATCCTCCAGGCAAGTCGTCGTCAACCCCCCCCTACTCCTATTGTCGAGCATCTGATCATCGGGTAACGTCGTGCCCGAAATTATTAGGTAAGCCGGTTCCAGCGAGGCGAACTATCGCCAAGGAGCGCCGCTGGTGCTGCTCATGTTTGGGAGGACACCTCCAGCGAGACTGTCCGCATCGGCGGCCCTGTCGGCATTGCCAGGGCAATCATCATGCCGTTTTGTACCTGAGTGCGAACGGCGTCTTCTCTCGGGGCTCTGCCAGGTCCTCGACCCCCACGGGCGGGGGCGCTCAGCCACGCCC